GATTTACAGTTCTTAGAATTAGTACTTTTTTAAGTTGTCTACATTCCAAGTTCGGGGCAACTTTCTACCGTTTGGGGTCTCCAGGCGGTATGTGCCATTTCTAACCTCTTCAAAGATCCGGTAGGTGCCCTCCCAATTTGGGGTAAGCTTGCCCTGCTCATTTGCCCTACCGGATGCCTCCATTTTGCAGAGTACAAAGTCCCCTACTTTCAAGGGCCGCTTGTGTACCCGCTTGTTGTAGGCTCTAGTCATTCTTAGATGGTAGACCTCTTGTCGTAAGGCGACGTTGCCCTTGCGCTTTGGGAGAGCATCCAGGGCCAGACGCATGGCCTCCCAATTGGTCTCCTCATCATATAACATGACACGGAGAGTTGGCTCATAGTGCTCAATAGGGAGAACAGCCTCAGAGCCGTATGCCATAAAAAACGGGGTTTCACCGGTTGCCCCTTTCTCAGTTGTTCTAATGGCCCAGAGAACATGAGGCAGTTCATCTGCCCATAGACCACCAGCCCTTTCAACTTTCTTCTTAACACCGTCTGAGATGATCTTATTGAAGGCCTCAACTTGTCCGTTTGCCTAGGGTCTACCTACAGACGCAAAGCAATGGGAGATGCCCTGATCCCCCAACCAGCCCTTGAGCACAGTCGTCTCAAATTGAGGACCATTGTCGAATACCATTGACATGGGGACCCCAAACCGGGTGATGATGTTTCTCCAAATGAAGGAAATCACGTCCTTGGTTTTTATGCCTTTGACCGCCTCTGCTTCAACCCATTTGGTGAAGTAGTCTACGGCTACTAAGATGTAGCGTCGACCGTGCAAATGTTTAGGGTAAAATTACCCTAGCCACATGGCCCAATGGGCTGGCGACACGTGGCACATCTCCATTAGTCAATAGGGCTCCAATCCCCTGTTGACACGTGTCCTTGGTACTCTCAATGGGGAACTTATCTGCCCCACTATAAATAGTGGGGCAAACCTCATTAATGGGGACATTCATAAATACAAACACTATTACCGTGCAATATTAATTGCGGAATTCTCCCAATCAGTGAGAAGCATTTTACCTATTCCGTACTCTTTTCCTCTTGTACGTATACTAACTTGATCGTCGGAGGCAAAGCTCCTACCAATAAGAGTCTTCGTGATCTTGTAGGTACAGGCATCCGGCAGCTCAGTCTTGGAATCGTAACTCTCCCGCAGGACACATAAAAATACCCCGAAACACAAACCATAATTCAAAACCTGATATGAAAATCAATCCTTCAAAAATACATTTATTAAAACAAATATCAAAATTAATACCTCCAAACATAATTTATTTCATAAATCATAATTCAAATCAATTTAATTCAATCACCAATAAAATCATATAAAACATGTTATTCAAACCAATCACTTTCAAAGGTATCTAGCCACCTAAACATACTTTGATTCCGAATATCAATCAACACTTCGCACTTTCAAAGTTCAATCACGAATACACCTTGTAATTAACATAACCATAAGGTTATCACAACATCTTTAGACATAACCCAAATCTAATGTGCATGGACTATAAAACTCTTGTAAAAATAATACTTTAATATAAAACTATAGCTTTGAAATAAGTATTTATATTTTAGAAAACTAACCATGAAGAAAATAAAGGAATAGGATTAAAGAGAATTGAATTTGCATTGGAAAGAATAGGCAGAACTTGCAGAGGCTATACCTCCTTCAATGTAACTCCGAATTGGGTGATTATTGAGCTTAACCTCAAGGATTTTTCGACAGGAACAATTTTCTGTGAAATAGCAAAACCCCAAAACTGAACAGAAAATCCCAAAAATTTTCTTCCAATGTATACGAGTTGATTATGTATGAAAAGAGTAGAAATAGAAGTATGAAAAGGTTTAGGGAAAAGAAGAATAAGAGAGAAGAAGAGAATTGGGTTTTGGTGTGAAGAATATGAGAGGTATGAGGGTGCATTTATAGGCTAGCTAAGAATTATGGTAGGAGAATGTAGGAAGAATTATAATAAATTGGTTTAAGGAAATTACTTGGAGAAGAGAGCTAAAGAATAATGGAAAGTCTAGGTTATGGTGATTAAGTAAGGAAGAAATAAGGTAAGTATGTAGTCATGAAATATTAAATGGTAAATGGCTTTGCTTAGGGAATAATCAAGAATGATTTAAGGTAGGGAAATAAGATGATCAAATATTTAGAAGATAGAAAATAAGAATTAAGGAAAATTATAGAATTGAGGAAGATAATTAAAATACAAATATTACCAAAATAATTTTGCTCAAAATACAATATGGTGGCCGAAAATTTGAGCTTTCCTAAGCTCATATTTTCGGACCTCCCTTTAAATATTTACGCAATTATTTCGCTAGTTTTTTAGGAATAAAAATGATTGTGTAATATATTTTGTATAAAATAATTAATTAGAAAAATACCAATTATTCATTAATTAATTTAACTAAGAAAATTAGATCTTCTAGACTTAGAAAATCCGAAAAATCCTAGCTAATTAATTAGGAAAATTCGGCCCTTTTAAATTAAATAAGAAAATACAATTTTGCTTAATTAAAATATTTGAAATATATATAATTCGGTTTTAAAATGAAATAAATGCATAATAAATCTTTTCCAAAATCCAAAAATAATAGTTAAGTTTTAAAATATGTTTGGAGTCAAAATTCAAATAGTGAAATAAATTGCTAAAATACCCTTTTAAGAAAATATTAATTAATTAATTAATTAGAAAATATGTTTAAAAAATATGGGGTATTACAATTTATGTCTTTATCAAGTGCAATTACTAGATATATTATGGATTATCATGGAGATAATAAGTTCGTTCTTTTGGGTTGTCATTGTTTGTTACAAGATGTGATAAATGATCCGTGGGCTAGTCAAATAGCCCAAAAAACCTAATAGAATGGATCCTATGAGGTCACACATAAGGGTAATGGATTGAACAAAGCATAATAGGCCTCATGAGGTAAGGACAAGTCACATAAGAAGTAAGACTAAAGTAGTTTGGGTTGGATTAGGAGTGGACTCTAATTATATATATGATATATTAATAGAGGCCTAGCCTAGGTTAAGTATACAAGTCACAATTAACCTAAGCAATAGATTGTGAAGCAAGCAACCAAACTCTCTCCTCCTATGTTTTCTTTATGTGTTGTGCATATATAGATCTTGTTTAGGTGCTTATGAATAATTCATGCAATTCCGCTTAATGTATCTATTTTCCTACAAATATAATTACAATTTACAAGTTGTAAGCTCTTAAACCATGTAACAAGAACCCATTTTGACAAAAGAAAAAAGTAAAGTATATTTTTAGTGAAAACGAGACACTTATTTTGTTGTAGATGAAGTATTAGAGTGAAAAATAAATAAAAATACTTAGGATAAGAAGTCAAAAGAAGTAGAGCTTGTCTATTTATCAAACTAGTTTATTGACGAACTTCTAAAATATGTGAGAAAAAAAAAACCTAATTTTGTCATTTCAGTTTTTTCTTGAGATCCACATCTCTTTATTGCACAGTTTATGAGTAAATTATTTTACAAATAAAATTTTTTAAAGAAAAAGAAAAACAAAAGGAATGAAAAGATATAACCACTTAACTACCGCCTCTAGATATGGTCACGGGTCCAAGACCCGCCCCATACCCTAGTTGACTCATCCTATTTTTAAGGGCCCGAGTCTACTTTTTTGAGACACTTTGAGTCTGGATTGGATTTGGGTGATGAATTGGGTCTAAAGTGCCAAAAAAATTGCCTTGGTCTAAATTATCGAGACCAAAATCCGACCCATAGACCCATTTAATTTTGTTAAACTTTATAGTTTTATGTTAAGTTTTGTAAGAATTGTAACTTTGTGTCAATTTTATGAGTCTTATAATAAAAAACATAAATAAGTAATAAAAACCCACATTATTTCTTTTAAAGAGAAAAAAAGCCTAATAACATGAAAGATAACGTCATCTTTAAATTAGTCCCTACAATTTGAAATTGATCATAAGGATATTTATATTCAAAGAATTACAAAGTACGAGGAAGTTGTAATGCATAACAATTATGCACAACTACTATTATTGTTCAATAGTACTACTGACAGGTGTGAAGTACTACTGGGAGCATGAAAAGTAGTGCAGAAAATGTTTAACAGTACTTTTTTACCTCTCGGTAGTATTTTTAATGTGATATTATTTACGAAATTGCCACTGATATATATTTGTTTGTGCATATCTGTTATGCATTTAAACTCCCTTTACAAAGTACAAATTCAAACTCATGACATGTAAGGTGATTTTGAACATAATAACACCCTACTATATTTACGAGAAGTGATAGACCGCTACCAGGTATTGGGCTCGTTGGGCCCATACCGGGGGTAACAATGTATTTCACGTGATGCTTACTATGTTGTAAGAAACTACTCTCTCTCTCCTCTTAATAACAGTATTCAACTCTATAATAACAAAATACAAAAAATAAAATAACAGTATACAAACCAATAATATTAGTACACAAGTTAATAATAGCTGAGCACCAACAAACAATTAACGTCGTCAATTTCGATCGAACTGTAATAATTTCCAGCATAGAACTCGCCGTTTTTAATGGCTGGAGTCGTAAGTTTGTGTCTCCGACAAGGAACTTATCTATGTTGGAAGACCACTAAAATCTTTCGCCGCCCTTCGACTTAACTATCTTACTCTTAATAAATTCTTGCCACAAAATTCACACCTTTAGTAGATCGAACACCGCTCCTTGTGGATGAAGAGTACTATAAATCCGATGAGAATCAAACTCCACCAAGAAGTACTTCATAGCATTGCTCACTCTTCTGTTTTTGGTTATGTTTTTTCACTCTTCTTTTATCTTTTCTATTTTCATTTACATTAAAAAGTTATATGAAAAATAATTTTATATTATGGTATGGACAAGTATGAGCCTAGACCTGATAGTGTGCTATACTTAATCCTATATTTACTACGGAGTAATTGAGTATGTAGTATACCTCTCGATAACTAAGGATAACGTTCCCCCTTGTTGCTGCATCGGTGCCTCCCCAAAAAATCACTTTACATTTCCATGGCTTCCGGCATTTTTCTTCACTACTCACCTCACTGCTTTCTCTCTCATTTTAAGGTCAATTTCTTTCTCTCATTGACATACAATCATCCCAATTTCCAAGACATTAATGCCCATTGTTAATTTGATTTCTATCTCACACAATTTAGTTTGGTAAATTGAATGCAGCTTTGCAGTTTCAACAATGGCTTCCCACATGCAAGAAAACCATATTCTGTATTTAGTAGTCCTGAAAACATACATCGACCCATCAAAGCTTTGGTTGAGACTTCTTCATTTCCACTGTTTCAGGAACCCCAAATTGATAAAACTCCTTCTGAGGTAATTTCTCCTACTTTTTGGTTTTACCTGAATTTCTAATTGCTCTATTTCTTATTGAATAATGAAATTCCTTTTCTTCTGTTTTAGATGAATTTAGCAGACCCAGATTTCTATAAGATTGGATATGTTAGAAGTTTTAGAGCTTATGGTGTTGAATTTCGAGAAGGGCCTGATGGGTTTGGTGTCTTTGCTTCTAAAGATATCGAGCCGCTTCGTCGTGCTCGGGTGAGACACTTCGTATTTCTCTCTTGATTTGAGCTGTTCTTGATGCCATTTGTGTTTTATTTGTTGGAGAATCAGTGTTTTGCTGCAACTTTGTACTCCTGTTTGGAAAATTGGTCACTTTGTACTAAAGTCTAATAATGAGTTTTAGAATTATTTTACTTGTGAAATAAATGTGTGAATCTTGTGCTACCCTTGTGTGATCCCTGTCACCCAGTTTGAGTGGTCTGTTGTAGAAATTACTATCTTAATCTAATCCCACCACCCACTAAAATTAGCAACAATTTATTAGGGGTCCTATTTAAGGAATTGGCTTGAATACCAGAGTTACCATAGATATGGGAATGTTCATAGTACATATGAAGTCTTGGCTGATTATTTTGGGACGTCATAAAATAGAAATGTAGTTTGTGAAAGTGGGACATCATATCATTTTCGAAAGCAGCTATTTTTTCAGATTAGTTTGTGACTATTTGTGCTATTCTATTAAACATGGAAGTACAAGAAGTTGTTGCTGTTAACAAGTTTTGATTAATTCACATAGTGACCTCATAGGCATTGGTGGTTATGGTGGCTTAGGTGGGTTAGGGGGGGTTTTGGGGAGGTGGGTGGGGGGTTTGTGGGGGTGGTGGTGTCGGTTTCTAAGGTGGCAGTGGTGGTTATGGTGGCCTAGGTGGTGGGGCTTGGTGGTGGTTTGATGTTAATAAAGGGGTGGGTTAGTAATTTAACCAAGGGTAAGTTAGTACTTAGGCTTTAATGAATGGTTGGCCACAAATTATCCTGTGAGGTCACTATGTGAATTAATCCAAACTAGAGGGTGACTTTATAGAAGAAAAGTTTTGCCTTGCCACCTTATAGAATATTAAAAAGTTGAAGGCTACCATATAGATTTTCCTTAAGTTTTTTTGGTAAACATTACTTTCTCTTTTTCCCCCAAAAGTTTGATTTGATCATTGTATGGAAAGTTTGGAGAAATAAGTTGGTTAAGAGAAAAGGTTGATTTAGTAAGATAGTACTAAAAGGTGGGTTGGTGAATGAAAATGGTGGGTGGTGTAAGAAAAAGGTGTATAACTTATGAGAGAGTGAGTAAAAACTAGAAAGGTGTAAATATTGTGAAGTAAGGGAGTATATAAGGTGATATTTTAAAAATATATATTGAGGCAAATCTTAACAAGATCCCATAAGATTATATTTTGCCTTATGTATAAATCACAAATATGGTTAAGGGAGAATTGTGAATTGTGTGTGTAAGGCCAAATGGTGATTGTATTAAAGAACGGAGGAAGTATCTACTTTGAATTGATATTTTCCTCTCTTAATGCATATTTAGACAACTAATCTATTTATTTTCTCATCTTGCATTTTGAATTGAAAAGGTAATTTGCTTATAATTTGGGCATATATACTTATGTGATGTTGATAATTTTACACTTTTCATTCTACACGATAATCTAGATGATCATGGAGATTCCTCTGGAACTGATGTTAACAATTAGCAAAAGGCTCCCATGGATGTTCTTTCCAGATATTGTGCCAGTTGGTCATCCCATATTTGATATTATCAACTCAACTGATCCGAAGGTATTTTTACTACATGAAGCTACTTATTATTCTATGTTTTGTTAAGAAAGGAAAAAGTGTTAAAGCTACATACTCACATGGCGACCCCCTAATAGGGGACATATTGAATTTTGTATTGGTTCTTCTGGGACAGCTCAAGTATTTAAACTTTGAGTCGTCCTTCAGTTATTATATGTGACCATAGATTTATTATCTGACTTTTTTCCTGGAACATGTTAATTATATGTGCTGATGTATTGTGCTGACAGACAGACTGGGACTTGAGGTTGGCTTGCCTTCTTTTGCATGCTTTTGATCAAGATGATAACTTCTGGCAGTTGTATGGTGACTTCTTGCCAAGCCCTGATGACTGCACTAGCTTCCTTCTAGCAACAGAGGTATAACTGTGATCTGAAGATGAAAACTTTTAATTTAACTGATTTCTCATTCTTTTCTGTGTCTATTATTAAATCCTAGTCTCATTAGTGTAGACCGTAGAGAATTAAAATTTAAGCTCATCCGTCTTGTGTTTATCTCATGGAATGACCAATGCCAAATCCATCTATTTCAAGGTTTGACAAAATACTAAAAAGGATTTAACTATGCTGGTTGGTATTTTATTTACAAGTTTATGTGATGATTCATTGTCACAATCCAGCGATATGAAGTAAGCACGCAAAGGCTTGGGGAAAAGATTCATCATGCAACACTTTGAAGCATTAAGCCATTAACTATCGCTGTGTATATATTGGTGTTTGATTGTGCGGGACTCAACGCTCACGCACACTCAACAGCAATAACACTGTAACACACACACACACACACACACACACAAGAACAGAGCAAATATAGCAGCTAGTAGTGGATAGTTGACTGATTGAAAGATGAAACCTGGGTAACTTGAGGTTACCAATCTCTAGGGAGTATCTTGAGGATACAAATCTCAAATACAAGTCTAATCACATGCCAAAGACATTCTCCTCCCATCCCTTAATTTATATACAAACAAGAACTGCAAAATTTACTAGCTGTCATTTAATTAATGGTCGTCATTCACATACACTGCTGTGCTAAGGTTCCACTAATCGATGTTGCTCCTCCCTTCAGCTCTTAGTTGCTTTTGTCTGCTTGTGCCAACTCCTCACTCCCTAAACTTGCTGCTGCCGTGATTGGTGGTGTGGTTGGCTTGACTGCTTTGCTCCTTCTCTGGTACTGTTTGATGATAGGTGGCTTTGCTGGCCCAATTTCCTGGTCCATTACATTGATCTAATTGAAATACAAACAGCTTCTTCTGTTGAGATAAAAGCAGTACCAAGTTCTTATGTAAAGCATCCCTAAGATCTTTACACTATATTTCACGTCTGTTGGTGACCCTTCAAGGGGTTAGTAGTAGATTAGTGGTGACACAAATGGGATGTTCAAAATTTTATTTGAACTAATATTTATCATTTTTGTTGGGAATGATCATTTATTAAAATTAGTGCCCTTCCAAATCTACTTTCCTTAAGAGTTAAAGTAATGTTTCTAATGGCCATTTGGCTTAATTCTTTTAAATTTGAAGTAATATTCAAAGTCCATTTTCCTCATTAAATCACTCACCGTAGCATATTTATCATTCTATTCACTTCAATATGATTAAGGTCTCTTCTTAAACTAAATTTAGGTCTTTCAAAGTTTCATGCTCTATTACTTTTGGTTATTATAGGGTGAATCATCATATATCTATTTGTTGATAAGAAGCATTATGGCCAAATAGATTGAAATAAACTGACCTGCCTTCTTATGTATAACATCTGTAGGGTCCAAAATTTCTGACTCAATTCCTATGGGACAAATGAGATTAATCTGGATTTGTTTCAAATCCAAAATCCAATACCATCTCTAGTGGTGATCTTTTTATCATTTTGATGCTGTAATTGTTGTTCTGAGTTTGTATTAATCTCTGCATACAAGTAAGTATTAAAATTTTAATTTTAGTAGTTATAGTTTCGTTTTGTCCGTCTAATAAATGTTTTTGTATCTGACTTTCCTACTTTACATTACTGCATCATTTCTGGATCAATTTTAATACTGTGCTTTATATGACTATTACTATTTCAAAAAGTAATTGCTACTCTCTCTACTTTGCTAGTGTTTGTTATGTAATTAGTTTCCTTGGCATCAAGCAAACTTTGCACGAAAGTTTAGTCTCTTCTCAATTAAGTTTGGACTAAGTAGTTTAAATAGGGCAATTGTTTTTGATTTTGAGTTCTGGCCTATATTAGGCTCAGTATTTGACTTGCGTAGCCTTACACTGCTGCTTTGTCGAAGCAAATTTTAACCACTTCAAACTCTTGACTTGATAAATGTATTTGCCAATTATTGAATCTGTATAGGTATCAAACTATAGCTGTGATAAATCACCACAACTTATTTACCTTTTCCTGTCATAGGAGGATCTTTTGGAGTTGCAGGACCAAAGTTTGGAGCTAACAATGAGGGACGAACAACATCGTTGCCTAGAATTCTGGGAAAAGAACTGGGTACTTAGATTCTTCTGTTTTCCCCTTTCTTTTATATTTTATCTACTGTTGTTGTAGCCATTTATGATTGGTGCCCTAATTCAGGATGCATCTTTTTTTTCAATTTGCTCAGCACTCTGCTGCACCTCTCAAGATAAAGCGTTTGGCACGTGATCCAAAGACATTCATGTGGGCTGTTGGTATCGCTCAAACACGTTGCATAAACTTGCAGTTAAGGATTGGTGCCCTAATTCAGGATGCAAATATGTTGATTCCTTATGCTGGTAAGTTAAAGACGTTACTGCTGTTGTCCTCCATTCTGTGCTTTAAACTGGTGATTTATAGTCCTTATATTATACTATCTCTGTTCTTTTATGTTCTACTAGCTTAGTCCATGTTCTCTTTATCTTTAAAAAAAATTATTTCAAAAAATAATATTTTCAGTGTAGTAAAAATAAGTTAAATTGAGTAAAAATAAGCTAAATTGAGTGAAACAATTTTAGTTGAGTAAAAATAAATTAAAAATTTTTAATTAGTAAAAATCAGTAACTTTAATGAACAAATATAATACAGAATCAATAAAATAAGCTTTAATCTGTATAAATAATTTCATTTCAGTATAATAAAATTCAATTTAGCAAAATTTATTTCGTTTTAGTAAAAATAATTTCAGTTCAATAAAAATGAGGTGAAAAAAATAGGGCCTTATTGTAAATACGCAGTTTAAGAAATTGTCGAAGAATGTGAGTGGGTATTAAATAAAGTAAGAGGAAAAAGGTGAATAGGTGGGTTTATATATATATATAGCTTAGTCCTCTTATGCATTTTCATATATCCTTGTTTATTGTCTGCTCCTTTAGTATCTTTTATTCTTTTTTGCTTACTCTCTGAGCCAAATAGCCAAACTTTCTCACGGTATTTCAGAACTTAGGCTTCTCAGGGCTTCAAAAACATTTGCAGTAACATCTCTCTCCTTATCTATTAATCTTTATCTGTTAGTATCTTTTCTGCTAACCATAGTAAATCTCTTGTCAGTCTGTAAAGATTGCTGAGCACCATATGCGTTGGCTAAAGGATAGGGTTCTCATGATTCAAATGCTAGCAATTAGTTGCCAACATATCTTTTCTCTTGCTTCTCTCTACAAGTCCCTGAAAAGTCCTTGTAGGTTTGGCACATAAATAAAGTATTTCAACATGTAAGGGTAGAGGTAGGCTTGATGGTAGATCTTGTTAATAATACAATAAATAATTATGTTGAGAAACAATATAAGAAACACAAGGCTGTTCTATGGGACCCAAATCACATGTTAGAATTGAAGTTAGTTTGCCATATAAAGAAACAAGGCTTCTATTTGTGGAAATACAAAATTAGTATGTACGACTATTGTTTTGTGCATGGAGTAAGTTTTTTTCTTTATTCTTAAATTACTTTGGTTTGTTGATCGACTGTTATACTTGCCTAGTTTGTAATATAAAATTGAGAGTGTGTGGTTATTTATGGCAGATATGTTGAACCACTCATTTCAGCCTAATTGTTTTTTTCATTGGCGTTTTAAAGACCGAATGCTCGAGGTTATGATAAATCCTGGAAGAAAAATAATGAAAGGGGAGGAGGTAAGTCTTTTTTTTTTTTTCGGAATTCCCTTGATGCAGTTTCAAAATTGCTCTCACTGAGTTAATATTGTTATTGCTATGATGCATGTAGATAGCAAGCAAGTATATATATATCTATATCTATATATATATATATATATATATATATATATATATATATATATATATATATATATATATATATATATATATATATATATATATATATATATACTGTACTAACAGGTTTAGAACTTGGTTGCAAAATATTTAAGAGGAGCTTTTTTTTGTAGAAAATATGCAGCAGCAAATAGTCTTAATAGGCTTTTTCAAGAGCATTAGATAATAAAGGTTCCCATTTCATGTTTTTATTTTAAATGTCTGTTTGAATTGAACAACATTGACTTTATCTCCATTAGTCGAAACAATCTTTTTAATATTTTTTGACTAATAGAAATGTGACTGTATATCTCAAGATTTCTACAGACCCTAGCATCCTACACCAGCTAGATCAACTGCTAATGGCGACGGTGGTTTTTTTTGGTCAGTTAATAGTGGAATCTTTTTTTACTGTGCATTATGAATATTCGTCTAAGTATTAATGTTAAAGGTGGCTGTGCTTGCATCAAGTTTGGGAATCCTAGTGTTTTGCACCCTTTTGCTGCTCACATCACTCCCTTGGTCGGTTCATTACATTAACGGCCTTCCCACCTTGTCCTTAAGGTGGATTATAGTCAACACTCGATTCTTTGCCTCGACAACAATTATCTCCAATCCAACTCTTCAATAGTCCAAAACCGAGAGTGAACAACAATAATCTCTAAAAATTAATGAAAAAGAAGATTGGCTTTATCAAGTGAGAAAATTGGGTCGTATGTAAAGTGGAGTGGTGAGTTAAAGGCTATGTTGGGTACCAAAGTCTGACATGGGTATGTGTCCAAGTGTCCGAATCGCCTATATTGTGAAAAAATATAAAATTTGAACTATATGAAGTGTCAAAGTGTCATACTGGAACGGTCGCATATTTCGCACTCAATCAAACACATTAATAAACAAACACCTCACAAACCAAGCATAATGATGAGTAAGAGTTCGGTCCACAAGGAAACGGGGTATAATTGCTAAAGACCCTAATGCATTAGCTAATTCCAAGGTTTCAAGTTGGTTGTGTCAAGGTTCATGAACTAGACAAACAAGGAAAGCATTTAAATTATATGGAAACACTAGGGAATAGAGATCCACTCAACCATGGAAGTCAAGCAAATTGGAGTAATATAGGTGATAGGTAGCAAGGACTACATGTAAGAGCAACCTCATGGAATTAAGAACAAAACTCAAATTCCTAAACTTAGATCCCTCATTAGTTTAGATATAGGAGATAATTAATCGAAATTGAAATTTGTAATGATAATCTAAATTCACATTCCCATGTCAAACCTAGAATATCGTGCCATCATGTGCAAAATCAAGGGTACCTATTCCTATCAATATAAACAAAAAGCAAACTTTATGTAATTAATTTAATCACAAGTCAATCACCAAAACTCTTCCCAATTCCACTTAATTAACCATTAGGTTTCACCCAACCCGTAGCTAGAATGACTACTCAGTACTCATGGTAGGAGACATGCAAAGCAAATAAATTAGGGCTGCAATTTGTTCTCGGGGAAAAGTGATAAACTATGGATGGATTCAACATGCAACAACAAATAAACAAGATTCAAAGAAGATTAAGAACCTTTGATTAAGAATAAAACCAGAGTGTAACAAGAGAAAAGTGATAGAAATTATTAAGTTGAACTTTCAATGTTGTCTACAATTGCTGAAGATGGGAAGATGTCTTGAAGTCCACTTCTACAATCATTAATTTGAGAGATTCTAACCTTAATTATATACTAATCTGAAGACTTAAATTGCTAACTAAGAGGAGAGTGCTAAAAACTATATTAAGCAGTGTTGTCCATACAAAGTAGCTGAAAGCGGGTATTTATTGGACCCCCAAATGAAAAAGATGGAAAAAACAAGAAGAGGAATCGGCTACGCATGCACGGTCGTGCCAAAGTGTGCACTTCGTGCAAAATGCCGAAGAACGAGGCAATAGCTACTACCTCGTGGAAACGCGATTTTGCATGGACGTAAGGCCCTTTTGCCTTAAATCATCCTCCTTGCTTCCTCTTTAGCCATCAAAGCTTCATTTCTTCTTCTCATTGCTTCTAAATTCTTTGCTTATCTGATGAAGTGCTTTGAAGTCTCTTCTTCGAACCTTAAATCGCATAATAAACAAAAACAACCTCGTAAAGTATGGGATACACAAAAATGCATAAACATAGAGTAATTAGTGAACTAAGACATTGATTTCTCACAATACCAAGGGTCAAAACCACTCTAAAATCATACTAAATAACAAAGCTATTTTATATACTTATGTCCGATTATCAAGGGTTCGACACGAGTACTTGAGGTAAAATGAAGAGTCCGAGTAAAATAGGTTGAAGGGTTGAAAAATGGCAGATTGGAGAAATAAAATTGGGCCTAAAGTTATAGTTCTTAAAGCCTATTTGTTTGTCTTTCATTCTTAAAAGAGAAAGAGATTTCGGTGAGCAAGCCCAATCAATCTCATTACCCCATTATATTGACTTTTTTATTAATCTTTTTTTTAAGGAAAATTGGGTAAGCATTTTATTATAAGCTAAATACCCAAAGTTGTAATGTTTTGGGGGAAAGCGTTCATACAAACTAATTTTGTGCTATACGTATCCACTCCTGCAACTATTTGAGGTACCGTGTTACCTACCCATTGAATAAGAATTTATAAAGACGTCTTAAGACTTAGATAGGGCGCTATTATCATCATCATATATCAACCACCTCGGAGAAAAACCTTGAACAGTTTCGCTAACCACTCGTGTCACAAAAGATGCATCTCCCTCAAGCTATACTTTTGACTCACCAAACGACGAGCTACATGAAGGCTTGACATTGCTGAAGTCCTCGAAATCTTTGTTTGTGCATAGGGTGCTTGATCTTTCATTTTATTTAATGATGTACAATTGTACTAATGAAAAATTGATTGACTAGCTTAAAAATTCTAAACTAGATTCAAAATATAATTAGCTTTGTATTCATTAAATTATGACTTATTTTTTTTGCTTTGGAAATAATTATTTTAGCTTTATCTATCCATATTGGAAAATTTGTCAATTACTACCACTTATTAATGTCATTTTGAAAATTACGATTGCGAATTAATTTTCTTGTGAATTACTACCGTAAAAAAATTAAAAAAATTTCTTTTACTACCACACCCCATTTTAGACCCTTTATGACGTCATTTTAGAGCTTTAACTCACGTTTAACCCTGTATAAAGCTTTTAATCGACAAAAAAAAAAAAAAAGAAAAAAATAATTCCCCTAACCAATGGTTACCCCCTCTAACTAACTTAACTAAACCCAACCCATACATTTCTTTCTCCCTCATCAATCTCCCTCTTCACCATTTGTAAAAATTCTTCAAGCTTGCTCCTCCTAGTTCACACTAATTCTTCCCATCTATCCTCCAATTGCTAAGGTAAACGTTTAATTCGTTTAATTTGCTTCTCATAAATTAATCTTTTACTGTTTTCGATTATAGGGTTTTTCAAATTTTAGGGATTTCACATTTTAGGTTTTATGGGTTACGATTTAACATTATCGAAACTACCCACTTAGCAGTATAGAATCATTAAATAATGCAATTAATCAATAAACAAATTAGATTTACCAACCTAGATCCAATTATGCGTGGAATTGTAAATTCTTTCTTGTTGTCTTCCTCCATCAGTGGTCCCTCTCTTCTCCTTCTTCAATGCTTGAATTTCCGGTCAAATATAGCAAAGAAAAAGATTCGTTGCAGAACAATCGTCACTGTGCAGAGTCTTCAGTGGAGTATGAAGTCAGAGTGTAGAAGAGAGAGAAAAATATGGGTTGGGTTAGAGGGGGGTAACCATGGGCTAGGGGAATTTTATTTTTCCTTTTTTTGGTTGTTTAAAAGCTTAACCCAGGGTTAAACGTGAGTTAAAGCTCTAAAATGACATCATAAAAGGTCTAAAATGGGGTGTGGTAGTAAAATAAAATTTTTTAATTTTTTTACGGTAGTAATTCACAAGAAAATTAATTTGTGTTAGTAATTTTCAGAATGACATAAATGCGCGGTAGTAATTGGCAAATTTTCCATCAAATATTTGATGATTGCAACTGTATGTCTGTAATGCTCACATGTGTGAACAAACCAATCCTAATCTTTCGTTTGTCTACTCAAATGTGCCAAGAAACCTCTAATATGTGTTTATAAGTAATATTTTAAAAAAATTTGATAATTTTTTGCTTTGCTGATTGCTATAGATGACTGTGAACTACATGAGTGGACAGCAAAACCATATGTATATGCAAAGATTCGGATTCTCCTCAGCTGTGGTAATTCCTGGAATCTGTACTTTTCCTTTGGATGGATTGATTATTGTTTTTGCTATTGTTGACTTCCCCCCACCTGTGATATTTCTTTTTTACTGCGACTTATTGTGGCTGGACATTTTTGTGTTCCCCCACCTGTGCTACTTCTTATTTATTGCGATTAATTGTGGGTGGACAGCTTTTTATTCCCCCCTCCCGGTGCCATTCCTTATTTATTGATTAATTGTGGCTACTGGCTGGACATTTTATTTTATTCCCCCAACTGTGCTATTCTTTTTTTATTGATTAATTGTGGATTGACATTTTTCCCCGCAACCTGTGCTATTCCTTATCTATTGCGATTAAATGTGGCTGGATCTTTTTCTTATTTAAATAATCATTTATTTATTTATTTATTTTTATGCAATAGGCATTGGACAATAACATTCAATAATGAGTGCTGTAAATAAATAGATCATTCATTTAATGTTATTTATCAGTATCACTGCCAATACTCAGAAACTTTGCGACACTAAATATACTAAGTTATTGCCTTGAAAGTATTGGAAATTGAGAGATATGGTATAATTTGGTTAATATTTTCTTAGTACGTGCTTTAAAAATAAATCCAATTTCACATTAACAATCACAATCTGGCTCGCGACTACCGTATTTTCAATACCATGACCACAGGGGCGATGCAACCGTATCTTCAGGTCATGCTTATAACATGCAGTGCCTCTATTTGGCTTTTGTAAAGAAAAATGATTTCTGCATGCATTTATTGTTGAAAAGTTATTCTCTGACCACATGTTACATCTTAATGTGGCCTTAATGATGTTTTATCCTTTCCAGAATCCTTGGGATGCCATATGTTTCTCTGGTGATTCCCGTATACATTTGGATACATTCTTGTCTGTCTTCAACATTACTGGGCTTCGAGAAGAATATTGTTTTAATAGTAAGTTCTGGGGATTTTTGTATGGAAGATTGAACTTTGGATATTCACCACATTTGTGATATGAGTACTGTCCTTTCTATTACATGTAGGTCAATTATCAAAAGAAGGAGATAGTTTTGTTGATGGAGCAGTCATAGCTGCAGCAAGAACGTTGCCCACTTGGTCAGATGGTGATGTGCCTATGATTCCTAGCATAGAAAGAAAGGCAGCAAAGGAATTGCAGGAACAATGCCAAAATTTCCTTGCCAAGTATCCTACAACAGCTAAGCAAGATAAAAAAATTATAGGTAATTTCTTAGAGAAGTTATCTCTTAAGTTCTGCATTCATGTTGTATATTACTTCCTGATTATTGAAAAAAAAAACAAAGAAGCGAAGGAGGTTAGGTAAAAGGAGCGATGGTATTCACTACCATGATGGTTGAAATAATGGATTCCCTGTACTGTATCTTGCCCCTTACACTGAAGTGGGGTTGGGTGATTTTTTTTCTTTCTTTTTTAATATTTTACTTTTTTTTTAATAATTTTTTTGTAATTTTTTTTATTTAAAACACAGTATGAAGCGGTTTTCATACTTCTAACTTTTATTTATTTATGTGAGTAAACTATTTGTATGATGTTTAGTTAGTTAAACTTCGATGTGCATCCCTTTTTCGTTTCATCTTTAAGTTCGATATATTATTTAGAATAGGTGTAGATCTTGTATGTATGATTCTGTTGAATCTTTTTCTCTGATACTTAGTGGTAGATCTTATTATTTATATTATTTTACTTTATTATTCGGGTCAGATGAAAAAGGGGGACATTCGTGCCTTTATTGTGTAAAAATAAAAGCAAGGGTGGAAATATGTACAAATAAGTCCTTTATTAGTTGGGAAAGTCAACTTTGGACATCAATATCTTCTTTGTCACAAATCATTTAAGTTGATTCCATTTGAAGATGAAAGTTGGGTCCAAATGATTTCCATCAATAGGTCATAAGCTGAACTTAAATTTAAATGAGCAATATATGACTATTTTATTTGAAGTTGAGCTGCCGCTTAAAATGTGCACGGTCTTGGAGGTGTAACATCTTGCAAATGTCCAAAAACTTAAATTTCACGTTTCTTTGTTTCTAATTGTTGAAATGATTTGAACCATTCATTTGTAATCTAAGGGCCTATGTTCGAAGTAGCCATTTTATAAGCGTGATTGAGTAAAATTAAATAAAAAATTTTGCTCTAATTGATTAATGATATTTTCTCTATCCTATTGCATGTCTGTGAGCATATATATATATATATATATATATATATATTATAAAAAAAAAACCCAATGATATTGGAAATTGAGCAATTTCTGTAAATTGATTGTTTGTTGAAGATTACGCATCTGTTATGGTCAACATATACTTCCTCTGTTCTTTTTTACTTGACCCGCTTTGACTTTTACATTATTCACCACCCCTCCTTTGACCGTCTTTTGTGAATGATATGTAAGGAAAATATATTCATGTGGGATCTTTTTGAATACGTCTTAATAAGTACTATCATAATACACAACTTTTATAATTTTTACTTATGGAGAGTTAAAACTATTGATCACTTAAGTTTTGCATTGGCAAGCGTGATAAAAGAAACAGTCAAGTAAAAAAGAATAGAGGAAGTATGATATATCTGGAGTGTCTTTCATTATCAAAAAGAGGGAGTAAGCCTAACTATCTAATAAGCTTAGTATGCACTTTCTTATTTGTCAACTAGGTTTCTCCTTGTATCCAAGTTTCATTCCGATGTACTTATGCTATCTCAACCTTATTGATGTCCTATGTGGATGATTCATTGTTAAGCATACCTTTAGACTTTATAAATTCCCAAGTATGATGTGTAAACAACCTTAGTCATAATAATAATAAAACAAAATAATAACACTCTTTTATTGTACCCTGTTGCCCCATTTTTTGAAGTTCACAGTGACCAACATCTGTTTTATAGATTTTTTTCAGGGTTATAAATAGAAAGCTATCCTAACTGAAATGTAGAAACTCATTTTGCCAAAACAATAGGCTACCTATTAATTGCTTATTTTATTTAATACGATGTATTAAACATTTTGTGTTGTATTCTGTAATTAGGCATTAGATTATATGCAAAAACTTACATATGCCTTCATTTATAAGTTTCCCTTCCTATAATGTTCCTATTCACAACAATTATCCTCCTAGACAAGAAATTACATAAAAAAAAAAGGACGTTAAGTGCTATATTAATGCTATACTGACTCAAGGTTGTTCTTTCTATAATTTGGATTATATCTTGGGTTGTACAACTGATATATTGTTAATTCTTTTGGTGTAGCTCTAACTATTTTTTTTTTTCTTTTTACCAAACAACAGATACTACATCGGATGCACGAAGAACACTGGAAGCTGCAATAAAGTATGTTATATTTTTAAGATGTTCTTAAAAGCTTTAGGATTTCTTGTAGCTTGGGGAAGCTTTCTGATATGAAATAACCATGGAAAGAGGGGAAAATCAACTAACAACGATTTCAATGCAACAACATAAGATAAACCTATCTCAAAAATCACCAAAATCTATGAAATAGGGTTACTTAATCAAATCCAACACCAAGTAAAGCTAGGACTAAGATTTAACCACAAAGATTACAAAATAGTAATCACGAAGATAGCAAATAATCACCGAGCTTAAGGAGAGATAAAATCTCATTGATTTCAAAATTAAGCAAAAATGCTCTCAAAAGCATGCTTAGCCCTATTTAAAGGTTTTACAAATAAACCTAGAGTCTTAAAATTACACCCCTTGGATTACTAATGAAAGGCCAAGATTAAAAGCAAGAAAAGCAACCAAAGAAAGAACAAAAACCGCTACAGAACAGGGGCTCTAGAGCGGTCGCTCCGCTTGAATAGAGTGGTTGCTCCGTACAGGGGAGCAGTCGCTCCAAAGCTCTTGTAAAAGATCCCAAGTCTAAATAGAGTGGTCGCTATGAAGGGTGGAGCGGTTGCTCCAATGGTCGGAGCGGTTCAGAGCTCGATTTCAAACGTTCACAATTTCTTCATTTCTTTCTGAAATGGGGCACATGACCTGTTGGTGGAAAGACCTCGGACTCTACTTTTGTCTCTAATTAAATCACTTGAAAAATCCTTGTAATGAAGAAGATATGGTTGATTGAAGTTGAGTAATACATCAACAAGTTTTCTCTCTGGGCTAATACATGAAATTCTTGGAGCTTTATTCTAAGCAAACAAAATGTTACTTGAGTTTAATGATGGTCAACCCCGAGAGGTGACCACCTTAGTTTAGCACGGCTACGTGTCACAACACGGGGCACTTCTTCAACTTCCTCCACCAAGTTTCATGCATCCGCATCACTTTCACATACTACTTATGCTTGACTAATTGAATGTGCTTATCCTTAAATTGCTTTTGCGACTCTTACTTGGAGTTCTCATCGCTCTCTGTTTTTTTATCTATATCGATAGAGACCCAAATATTTTTAACTACTTGACACTCAAAATCCCTACTCATCATTGTAGTAAACCTTGAATGGATTGGAAGCGGAATCCCAAAATAACTTTGTTCAGAAATTATTTGGTTTGTACTGCCTTTCTAGTTCTGTCTAATTTTAGAACAATTACCTAAAAATCTAGAGAAATTTATTTTTTTAAAATAAAATTGACTCATAAATAAAAGTCATATGACATCTACAAAGAGATTTATATCTAACATGTACATGATAATTGAATAAAATAAAAACATCTTGTCAGTAAAGCTAAGCTACGATCGTTGTTGCAAATCGTTGTTCTTCATACCCTCTTTCATATCGCTGTGATTTATGTAGTCGTGAAGAAATTTTTTTTGTCGAGATTATAATCGAAAGATTAACCTCTTTTTCAATTCCGCACAAATCTTTACCCATGAAATAATTTTATAGCAATCAATGAAACACAAAAGCAAAGCCTCCTTCAAAAGAGAGAAGAAAAAACCAGGTGTTTGATGGAGCAAAATCCTCCTAAAGAAGAAGAAAAACGCTGTCATTCAAGGGAGAAATGTCCCTCCTAGAAGAGTAAGAGTTATTATAAACCTAAAACAAACAAAAATATAGAGGATAAGCACACAAAAAATAACGATTAGGATTTTCCACCGGTAAAAACCGATGGAAGCCCCTCCATAATTCAATAATGGAGGCTAGGGTTTTAGAGAGATGAGATAGGAGAGAAAAGAGAGAGACTAGGGTTTTATGAATGAAGTGTTATATTAATCTAGAGAATAATTATTTTAAAGTTCTTGCATAAAACAAAAAATAAATAAATAAATAAATAAAATTCAATAACAAAAATTACAAGTACTTGTGATTTTTTACATGTAGATCAAACATCATATAAAACAAATGATTCAAATAATCATAAGTTTATTTTTAAATTAGTAATTCAAAGAGGGTGACTTGTATATTCTCACATATGAATAAAAAATTAAAGATTAATATTGCCATGTTCTGATGCTATTGTAGCTTTCATCCTTGTCTTCTTTTCTTTGTTGTTTAGACACTTTAGAGAAGCTATCAACGAAGGAGGTAAAAAAATTTCCAACTATCCTTAGAACTCTTCAGTAATCAGTAAATTGGTAAATATAAATATAAAATGTGAAGGAGGAAGTAGCTAAAATGGGTAATCAGTAAATTGGTAAAATATAAATATAAAATGTGAAGGAGGAAGTAGGTAAAATGGGGAGGAGGCTGCGGAAGTATAACCTATGGCATTTGAATCATGTATCTCGCAAGAAAACCCGTTGGAAAAAATAAAAGCCCAAAAATCCAAAATTCGTTAGAAATAAGGTTTGTACTTTGTATTAATCGACTTCTAGAGTTTTATGATGAAATTGAGGAAGAAAATCATTGATCATGTGTGGCGTTTTTTGGGAGAGAAAATAGATTAATTTGATGGCAGTCAAACTTTGGAGAAAGAGAGAGGTAACGGGTAAAATTGAGGGTGGTGGAGTTTAGAGGAGAAATGAGAAAATTAAGATAATTGGGTAATGGTCGCAACTCCCAATATATTTGACCTGCCATTTGGCTTCTAAAAGCAATATAAAAACCGGGTGTCTCTTATGGACTAGAAAATTTTGGATTTTATTGAACTTGGAATCTCACCTTTCGGGACCAGATTTCTCCATACCAATACAATCTGTTCCATTCCACTATATCAAAAATTTTGGGTTTAGGTCCGGTTTCCGTTCCAAGTCTATTTTTGCACACCCCTTCTCATAGGAGTAATAGGTGTGACCAAATAACATTACACAGAGATGGCAAAGTATAACCATGGCCACCGACTTTTCTAACATTACACATGACATCATCTTAGTAGACAACTTAGCCTTGTTGCTTGTAGTGATAAGATATTCATCTTACAATATTATTTTTAAGTGCTACAAGAGAGGGCAATGACGCACACAAAATTTAATCTAAAATCTTGGGTACCAATCCCAAAGACTTTAATCAACTAAGCCAGTTGACATCCGTTGAGCACATCTTGTGTTATTTGTGACAATTTCTTGTGTATATCGTACTGACTAAATCTTGTTCATTGTAGGTACCGATTGCATCGAAAATTGTTTTTAGAGAAGGTCATTGATGCTTTGGAGATTTATCAAGACAAAATTTTGTTTTAAGTTGCCAGTTTGTTAGAATTTGGTAAGAGCTTTTTACTTGGTGCTAACCTATGTAGTCTGAAGCATCAGCTACAAATGGCTAATCACTAACCTGTATTTGTTCGCTTTTAAGGTACTCTAATTATTCGATTGGGCACTCTACACGTTTGGACAGTCAAGTGGGTACTGTTGAGATGAATAGCAGTGATCGTTATTGTCCCTTGTTGATCAGGGAAAAACTCTTGCTACTCTCAAATGAGGTCGAAAAGGAAAGGGTAAGACTGCTGAATTTTCCTGTAATATTATGTTTTTTAAGAATAGTACAAGGTAGTTTATGGATAAGATACATATTATCTCTATTATATAAATTCGAAAGTAATTGATTAAGAAGTCATTCTTGTTCGATGCTTCATGCACATCAATCTTTGAGTAGAAATATTATCAGTGTTGCAAAAGCCTTTAGTGCTGAATGTAGGAGACTTTGGTTATATATGAATGACGTACAATTGTATGTTTTAATCCTGGGAAATTGGAAAAGTAAAATAATACTTCGTATTAAAAGACATTCCCTAATTCAAGTATTATAGTGCCTTGGCTACCTAGACTTCTCTTAAATGAGTTTTTTTTTTTTTTTTTTTTTTTTTTTTTTTTTTTTTTTTTTGGCTCCAAGAGGTATATTCTAACTTAGCTCATATTTCTGGAAAAGGGAACTGTGGAATGTCATCCCCCTCTGTAATACATAGTATATTTTTTACTTAAAATTTAAGCTCATATTTCTTTTATCAAGCTCTGGGTTTGTTTCCAATTTCATTGCTCACTATATTAATCTGGCAATGTTTTCTGCTTGGGAATAATCACTCACAAAAACCTCCCCTTATCTGCTTCTACCCATTATCCCTTTCATTTCCATCCCAATCCCTGTTGTAATCTTTTGACAGCAGCGTTCATGCTTCTTGGTCAGATGTCACTTCTTAAGCAGTTATCGACAGTATCACACGTGAAGTTAGTGATGAGTCTGGTCAGTTGGTGGAGAATTTACTTTGCAGGCTCAGTGGTGATCGCTGAGATTCTTGCCATATAAAGCTTGTCCCAATGGTTGAACAAATTTCATTTTTTATTAAGCTGATTAGTGACAATATCTGATTCTGTATTGTAGGGCACTGGATACCACTTTTAAAAAAGACAAGTCAGTATTCAGGGTATTTAAATCGATTTGAAGGAAGGGAAACAAACTTGATAAAAAATGAGAGGATGACTTCATGGAATCATGGGGACATTTTGTAAACACCCCACCCCCTCTCCCCAATTTCCCTTGTAAAGGCATTGTATAATGCCAATCTAACTCGGGTTTCTAGGTGTAGAAGTCCTATTCCAGCATGAACTTGGTTTATGTTTTTCAACTTATCTGTGCTGTATTCGCATCTCACTCTAGCCAAACAAGGAAAAACAAAAAACAATTGTAAAGAATCAAGCTTTTGAAGATTGCTCTTTCCTGAAATCGATTATTATACTGATACATCAAGATTTGTGATTGTTAATTAATAGATATACGAAGTACTTTGTAATTAACTGTGATCTTGTAATTGTCGACTGAAGATATTCTTCTGTATTAACACATGCTGCGTATGTTGGGTAAATGCTTTTGTTCTGCTCTTGTATGACCAAGGCATCAACAACATTCCCATAGTTTGCATTGCTGCTACTTCTTGCTGGGAAGACACCTTCGTTCGTCAAGCTGCCTAGTTAAGCCAAACTATGTTCATATTGAGCTACCCACAGCAGTGGCTCTTAGGTAGCTCAAATGTATAAAGAATGTTCATTGCTCGGTTTTTAAGATCCTCTTGTTAAAGATTCACATATTGTAAGAAATTGTACCGGAAAAGTTTGTACCAAATGGAAGTATTGCATACATCCAATAGAACAATGTCTAATTGCATACTAAGATCTTAGGGTGTCAATTGTAAAGCATTCTTTTGTGTGACTGAAGGTGCACTTCATTGATAACAGTTTAATCATATTGTATTTAAGCATCTTGGGGCTGTTATACTACCCAGCTCCCCCTAGTTTACACTTAGTTCCCATCTTCCCTTTCTTCTACCAATTCATCTATGTCTCGCTCCTATTCAACTCTAACATAGATTTACGCAATTTCAGTTATATAGAGGGTGGATGAGGTAGAGCTGTCAAATTGGTTGGTGGTGTTGTATTGTAGTGATTTATAGTTATATCAACTCAATGAGTTTGCTCGTCGTCTAGGATCAGTTCAGGTTATCTTTTGGACTGAATCAATTTTTGACTGCTTCAGGGTGAGGCTAAAGGAATGTTGAGTTGTTAGTGCAACAGGAGTTAATTTTCAGGCAAAGTTTAATTTTGTAAAAGAATTATTCAGACCCTGTTTTATCTGTTAATAGCCTGTTTAGTTAAGTAGTTTAGTTTCATTATGCAATGGGTAACACATCAAGTTATCGACAATTTGAAGTATATATATCACTTTACTCTAGTTAAAGATCTTGATGTAACTGGGACAGTCCTGTACTTGTTCTTTTGACAAAAATTGAATGACTGAAAAGAGGAAACTTTTTTCTGTATGATACGTATATACCACATTACCACACGTATATACCACATATACGTTTGTTTACATCTAAATATTACATTGTATATTGCACTATTAATATCAAGCAAGGTTTGACTCACTCAGTAAGGTTCTTAATCTAGATGCTACTCCCTCCGTCCCTTTATTTTTGCCCCATTGCCATTTTAGGGTCAAACTTTGAAAATTTTGACCATAAATTACCGTTAATGTATAAAAGATAATATAGTCACGAGTGGTCTTGTTAGTTTCGTCTCATTGTATATTTTATTAATATCACGTTTTTATAATTTTTACGTGTATAGAAATAAAGATATAGACATTTTAATACGCGTCTTGAAAACCGTGCACAGTCAAATAGGGCAAAAAAATAGGGACAGAGGGAGTAGATGTTTGAGATCTGATTTTTGTGCTTGATTTCAAGTTTTGGTCTTATTTGACATTTTTGACACGATAAATATTTGTAGGGATTTAGATGTGCTTAGCGGAATTTCAAGAATCATATTCTTAACATCTAAACATGATCATATGCATATAATAATAAGTATCAATAATAAGGTTAGGAATTACAACCTTTGATGCGTGAATTCCTTGTTTGCTTTCTACCGCGGAGATCTTGAGCCCCAAGAGTTGCTCCTCTAATCAGTCCACAAGCACGGATTGGATCCCCACGTATGCTAGTACGGAAGAGGAATGAATGTAACACTCTTCTTACTTTTGATGGGAGGAGGTAGAAAATAACAGTGTATTTAATTAGGGTTGTCTAACTTACTTTTATAGGTCAACCACATATAAAAGTAAAACCCTAATCACAAATATTCTGCCATCAAGGCCGACTATTGGGCCTTAATAGATTTTGATCCAAACCAATACTTTATTGTGTGACCTCCTAGGATTCAGTTAAATTAGCAATGAGCTTCATAATAAACCCACAGATCATAGTTGGTTTCTGGCAAAACGCTATGACCACCTAAAATGACTAAATTATTTATCTCCATAATTAATCCTAATTTATATATATTTAGTAATTGCACAACCGACCGAGGACACAACTCCTTCAATCTCCCACTTGTCCGAAGGAAAGTGTGCAATGTTAAAATACCTTAAGTCGCTTAATGTCCAATTTGATAGTATGATAACATCTCTATGTTTATCCATACTAGTATTCAAATTGTTTCTTGAACTCCGAGTTTAAACTATCAAGACAAATGATAAACCACTTAATCCATTTGAGCACGGTCATGCATTTCCAGCTTTTCACTCTTCAAGAGGCCTAAGAACACCAATCCTAATCATATAGGAGGACTTATCCAATCTTGTATAACCAAAACTCCCACTTAATTTTTAGCAATCCCAACGACTGCCTTTATAACCTCCTTTTACGGCGCGGCGTTTAACAGTGTTAAAGATATACTAATCATCGCATGAGAGTAATGTTATACTCATGCCTAAGGAATTCACTAAATATAATAATGAAAATCTTGAAACAACTTTAAGAAATTCATGTAGGTCTGTCCAATATGTATTCTCAATACATATCTATGTAATTGACTAAACGTCCTAATGTTTCTATAGCCCATGAAACTGCGCTATCAATCAACTTACAAACTAGTCTTGTAACAAGTCATTTATGTCTAGTTTAATGACTCAAGCTAGGGACAAGCAGTAATTAAAAATTTTGTTCACTTAATAGGGTTTCATTCACCAAATCACGCATTTGATGAACCTATTGAAAATTGTAAATTACTTTGGAGATTTTATTTAATACTTAAATCATAATTAAATAATAGAACTTGAAATATTTATTTCATAAACATAATATCAAAAAGCATAATAGTAAAAAACAACCATTTTAAAACTATTACATAATCACAACCATTCTCCAATGTGCCTGATTCCCATAGCCCTTGTATGGCTATCATGTTTAGGCTGTGATAGAGGTTTAGTCAATGGATCAACAATGTTCGCATCTGTATGTACTTTGCAGATCCTGACATCTTTCCTGTCTACAATCTCGCGAATGAGGTGATATTTTCTCATTACATGTTTGTACTTGTCATTTGAACTTGGTTCTTTTGCTTGTGCAATAGCCCCATTGTTATCACAATACAACTCAATTCCCTCCAGAGCACTAGGCACAATGCCTAATTCCGTCAAGAACTTTTTTATCCAAACAGCTTCTTTTGCTGCTTCAGCTGCTGCTAAATATTCTGATTCCGTTGTAGAGTCTGCTACTATGCTTTGTTTGGAACTCTTCCAGCTTATTGCTCCTCCATTCAGACAAAAGATGTATCCTGATTGTGAGCGGTAATCATCTCTGTTGGTTTGGAAGCTTGCATCAGTATAACCTTTAACAACTAACTCATTTTCACCTCCATATACTAGAAAGTCATCCCTAGTCCTTCTTAAGTACATTAGGATGTTCTTAGTAGCATTCCAGTGCGTCATGCCTGGATTTGATTGGAATCTTCTACACATACTCAAAGCATACGAGACATCTGGGCGAGTACAAACCATAACATACATGATGGATCCTATGGCCGAAGCATAAGGAACTGAACTCATCTGTTTTAGTTCATTAGAGTTAGACGGACTCTGAGTCTTACTAAGTACGATGCCATGTCGCATAGGTAGAAAACCTCTCTTAGAGTTTCCATTCTAAACCTCCTTATGACCTTATCAATATAAGTACCTTGGCTTAGACCTAGCATCCTTTTGGACCTATCCCTATGGATTTTGATCCCTAAAATGTACTCTACATCCCTTAGGTCTTTCATAGAAAAACTCATTCCAAGTCAAACCCTTACAGATTGTAGTATAGGAACATCATTTCCAATGAGAAGTATGTCATTCACATACAAGACCAAAAAAAACTACACTGCTCACACTAAATTTCTTATACAATCAGGCTTCTTCTTCATTTATGAGAAAACTAAACTGTTTGATAGCCTCATCAAATCGAAGATTCCAACTCCGAGATGCTTGCTTCAATCCATGAATGGATTTTTGAAGCTTGCATACCTTACTAGGATTTTCAGGATCTACAAAACCTTTTGTCATGTACACATCCTCCTCCAAGAAACCATTCAACAAGGCGGTTTTCACATCCATCTGCCAAATTTCATAGTCATAAAATGCAGCAATCGCTAGAAGTATTCAAATGGATTTAAGCATCGCTACCGGTGAAAAAGTTTCATCATAGTCAATACCATGAATCTGCTTAAATCCTTTTGCAACCAGTCTTGCTTTATGAACAATTAAATTCTCATCCTTGTCTGTTTTCAACTTCAAAAACCCATTTGCATCCTATAGGTGTTACCTCATTCGGCAAATCAACCAAATTCCAAACTTGATTTTCAGACATGGATTCCATCTCGGATTTCATGGCTTCATGCCATTTTTCGGAGTCTTGCTCATCATAGCTTGCTTATAGGTGGTAGGCTCTTTGCATTCTAAGAGTAAAAGCTCTGAGCTCTCCGTCATCAAGAAATCAACGTATTTCCTAGACGGAGCTCTTGGCCTATCAGACCTACGTGGAGCTACAGCAACAGAAGAATCATTTACAATTGTTTGTGAATGTTCGCATGAATCAGTTTCAAGTAGGACGGTAGGAGTTTCATGCGTTGAATGCGTCATCTCCTGAACTTGACTTTCGTCTTGTCGGGCCGTGTCTAACATGGTGTGAACCACGTCCATTTGTTGCTCATCTGGAATTTCTTCGAGAGTTACATTTGTCCCACTTGGCTTTTTGGAAACAAATTCTTTTTCCAAAAAGACACTATTTCGAGCAACAAACACTTTTTGCTCTGTTTGGTTGTAGAAATAGTAGCCCCTTGTTTCTTTTGGATAACCCACAAAGAAACATTTATCGGATTTAGGTGCAAGCTTATCAGACTGTAAACGTTTTACATAAGCTTTACAACCCCAAATCTTAAGAAAAGACAACTTTGGGACTTTCCCAGTCCACATCTCATATGGTGTCTTCTCCACAGCTTTTGATGGACATCTATTTAATATAAAAGTAGCAGTTTCGAGAGCATATCCCTAGAAGGATATCGAAAGATCAGCAAAACTCATCATGGAGTACCATATCTAATAGAGTACGATTCCTCCTTTCAGATACACTATTCAATTGTGGTGTGCCTGGAGGAGTTAGTTCGGAAACTATTCCGCAACCCTTAAGATGATTATCAAACTCTTGACTCAAGTATTTACCACCATGATCAGATCGTAATGCCTTAACTTTCTTGCCAAGTTAATTTTCAACCTCATTCTGAAATTGTCTGAACTTTTCAAACAATTCTGACTTCTGCCTCATCAAGTAAACATAACCATATCTACTTAAATCATCGGTAAAAGTAATGAAGTAATTGTAGCCACCTCTATCATTAATATTCATTGGTCCACATACATCTGTATGTATTAGGCCTAATAGCTCACTAGCTCTTTCTCCTTTCCTGTAAAAGGTGATTTTGTCATCTTACCAATCAAACATGGTTCACATACATCAAATAATTCATAACCAAATGATGTGAGAAGTCCATATGTATGGAGCTTTCTAGCTCCTTTTGGACCAATATGTCCTAGACGACAATGCCAGAGATATGTGGGATTTAAATCATTTGATTTTTGCCTTTTAGTGTTTATGTTATAGACATAGTTGTCTAAATCCAGTATGTATAAACCATTAATTAATTTTGCAGTGGTATAAAACATCTCATTTAAATAAACAGAACAACTATTATTCTTTATTGTAAATGAAAAACCTTCATAATCCAAACATGAAGCTGAAATGATGTTTTTGGTCATTGCTGGAACATAATAACAATTATTTAGTTCTAATATTAAACCAGAAGGGAGAGATAGACTATAAGATCCAACATCTAAAGCAACAATTCTAGCTCCATTGCCAACTCGCAAATCTACCTCTCCTTTTGCCAATTGCCTAGTTCTTTTTAGTTCCTGCACATCAGGTGTTATGTGAGAACCACATCCGGTATCTAATACCCAAGATGAAGGACTAGCTAAATTAACTTTTATAACATCAATACCCGAAAAAGATTCAACATAACCATTCTTCTTATCTTCCAAGTATTTAGGGCAGTTGCGCTTCCAATGCCCAATCGCATTGCAGTAGAAGCACGTGTGTTCAACATCAACCTTTTGCTTCTTAGAAGAGGGTTCTAGCTTAGTTTTGGAAACTTTTTTCTCTTTTCCTTTGTCAACTACCTCATTCTTCTTTTCACCCCATTTCTTCTTAAAACCTTTCCCTTTGTTAACCATAAGAACATCCTTCTTTGGTTCAACAACTCTATTGTTCTGTTCAGCTGTTTTAAGCATCCCATGCAATTCATGTAAGGTCTTCTTTACACTAGTCATGTAGTAGTGAAGACAGAATTCTTTGTATCCATCATGAAGAGAGAAAAGCACAATATCATTAGCAAACTCTTCGCCATAATTGACTCCAAGTTGTCTTAAATTTTTAAAAAGACCGATCATTTTGAACATGTGATCATGAAGCTTTTGCCCAGGCAAGAGTTTGGTATCAAGCAACTCTTTGCTATTATATACCTCTCTTGACTTGCCAATTCTTGAAACATAGATCTCAAGTTTTGGATGATGGAATAAGCATCCATAGTCTCAAACCTCTTTTGAAGACTTGGTTCCATCGTTGCCAACATGAGACAAGTAATTTGCACAAACCTTTCACGAATACGTTTCTCATTAGCCTTTTGAGCTTGTGTTGCATTTTCAGCCAAAACTGGGATTTCGATATTAAGGACATCCTCCATTCCTTCACTTTTGAGAACAATTCTCAAGTTTCTTTCCCAATCGAGGAAGTTGTTGTTGTTCAACTTATCTTTCTCAAGGATTGAACGCAAATTAAACGAATCATTATTACGAGACATGGTATCTACATATTAGGAAAAATCCAAGAATTAATATTATGTTTTTAATAAATAGCTAAAATTTAAAATTATAAGCTATTACACATTATTTTATTCAAAAGTGTCCCTATATAAAATAATGATTCCAAGATCATTTCAAAAGTAATTTAAGCGGACTTGGGCCTTGCCCTCAAGTTAAATGATCCAACCATCCAGGTAAGTAACATCTTTACTAATTATAACAATTATAATTCTTGGTCGATAAGTGTCATCTTATGTTTTAAACTTATCTCATTGCCTCTAAGTCCAAAACTTTGTTTTTTGATAACTTAGTTGAGCATAACCAAAACAACATGTAATTCCCTTCATAAAATTACCCGTACTATCCTATGACTTAAAATGATGCTTTGCTTGGGCAAGCCCACCACTTAATTCACAAGGCCTCATAGTTGTTGAATTGGAAAAAACAATTAGCTCAATATTCTTTTAGGGACTTAAGTTATATAATGTTGGTTATTTAAAGTGAACTCATTAACAAACAAGCAACATTCATAAACTTAAAAAAGACATTTTAAAAACATAAATAAAATGCAATAAAATTAAATGTGATCTAGTATGGCCCCTAACCCTTTAAAATCTAATTTTCTTGGGCCATCTTCTTTGATTCATCTTGGATCACCATCCTCAATTCATCTGGATTTCATAGCAAGCTCGAATCTCCATTCTTGATTCTCCAATCATAACTTACTTAATACGAAAATTTAAATAAACTATTTAAAATTACAAAAATACAAAACGATACGCATATCGTATTTAAGATTACAAAAATACGTAACAATACGCAGATCGTATTTTCTATCTTAATTAGGGCCATACTAGTCACAACAAGCAATTCATAACATCAAATATATATTAAACATGCAATCAACTTATTTTAGTAAACAAGATTATATCAATCAACATTCAATATAAACATTTTACTAAAAATAACATACAATATTGATTCACATAATCAAACTCCCTTGTTTTAAATTCAATTAGAACTTATATATGATATTAATCGTTATTAATATATAATTTGTATAATTGGAATAATAACTCAAAATTGAAATTTGCTCAAAAATATCTAAATAATTAAACAAATTTCCTATTTTATCTCAAATTCAAAATTAAAGATAAAATAAAATTTAATAATATCTTTTAAATTAAAAACTGATTTTTAAAATTAAAAGATAAATCCTCCTCCTTTTTTTTTTTTTTTTTAAACATGCTGCCACGTCAGCTGGAGCAATTTTCAGCAACGCAGCAGCAGCCTGAGCCACGAACAAACGCAGCAGCAGCCAGGAACAGCTTCCAGCCACCACGTCGACTCCTGAAATCGCCTAAGCCACCGCAACCACCGACGTCCCACTTGAATGGCGCGCAACCCTTGCACGCACAGCCATTAACGCAGCCACGTCACGGTGCCACGACGAAGAAGAAAAACGAGTCCAAAATTCGAACAATTTCGAATCAAAATAAGGTTTTTCTAGCGATTTGATATTCGATTTTAATCCCAAAACAAGATTTTGGTATCAATTTTCAATCTTATTGAATTAATTTAATGATTTTCATTCAAAATCAAATTGGGGAAAAAGTTACGGTTTTTAAAATTTTTGAATCAAACTCTTTGATTTCAAAACGAAAATAACAATTATTTACATGATTTTGCAATTGAAATCTAAAGAAAACAAAGCCCTCAATCAATTTTGACACAACTTGTCGAATTGAAGGTCAAAATTTCGAATTTCTTCTTGCTTGTTCGAACGAAACGCAATTCCCCCCCCCCCCTTTTTTTTTTTTTTTTTTTTAATTAAACGAATCTAATTAAGTATCAAATACTTAATTCCAATCAATTAAAACAACTTTTAATTATGCAAATTATTCCATATATCAAATCCCTCTCCGAATTGAATTAAAACTACAAAATTCGCATACAAAATATAAACAAATTAACATATGCATTTGGCTAACTGATACCACTGTAGGGATTTAGATGTGCTTAGCGGAATTTCAAGAATCATATTCTTAACATCTAAACATTATCATATGCATATAATAATAAGTATCAATACTAAGGTTAGGAATTACCACCTTTGATGCGTGAATTCCTCGTTTGCTTTCTACCGCGGAGATCTTGAGCCCCAAGAGTTGCTCCTCTAATCAGTCCACAGAGGCAGAAAATAACAGTGTATTTAATTAGGGTTGTCTAACTTACTTTTATAGGTCAACCACATATAAAAGTAAAACTCTAATCACAAATAATCTGCCATCAAGACCCACTATTGGGCTTTAATAGATTTTGATTTAAACCAATATTGTATTGTGTGACCTCCTTGGATTCAATTAAATTAGCAATGGGCTTCATAATAAACCCACATATCATAGTTGGTTTCTAGCAAAGGCTATGACCACGTAAAATGACTAAATTATTTATCTCCATAATTAATCCTAATTTATATATATTTAGTAATTGCACAAACGACTAAGGATACAACTCCTTCAATATTTGGTACGGTTCTTAAGGAGGTCAATAACATTTAGTTAGGTTTAGTTGGATTTGGATTCGGGCTGAATAAATGGCCTGGGTCTATTTTCTTTTCCTTATCATGGGGCTCCAAATTGTTCAGTTAGGTTAGATCGGTAGCAGGCAGTTTCATGGTTCGGTTTTCAAATTAACAGTGCTATATATATGCATTACATGCGATAAGAAAAAAGCTCATTATCGTGTACATAATTGTGTTTTGTATAATCAACCAACTATGGATGCTCTAAAACGTTATGTATCTCCTTCACATATCTACACATCAAAACTCGTTCTTCTACATTTTAGTTGATTCAAACTGAAGAATGTTGCCGTAGAGGTTCAATCTCCGAGTTTTGGGTTTCAGCATTTCTGGGATTTTGACTGTCAAGGGGCATATACTGGGACATGATAGCCATTATCTCAGAGTCCATGTAAGACTGCATATGAAATGAGAAGTTATGTCAGCCTTTCCGATGCCATAATCAGAATATCGTAATTAGGCATTGATGATTCAAGATACTATAATCATAAGCAGAGAGCAATTACTAAGACTTACCCGGAGTCTGTACTTGTAAAATATATACCCAGCTGAGCCGAAACCAGCCAAGACGGCTAGCACTAAGACAGTTGGGAACCATCCAGACTTTGAGGAGCTTCTTTCTGTAGATACGTAGTAAAATTCTTAGCATCTAAAATGATGTGCGCTTAGGGTGTATAAAAAGATAGCGAAATTCACCTATGCATGTGTCTTGATCCTTCATATACAAGCGATTTCCTCCACACTTGCAATCATAACCACCCCATGTATTCTTGCAGCTGCATCCAGAGCACTGGCAAGCAGCGTGTTCCTTGCATTCATCAATGTCTGACATTCGAAAAAATAATAAAAAATTATATTGGTACTTCTTGCTAATAGCTTAAGATTGATTGGAAGGCAGAAAAGAACAGAGGTGGCAACCGTCACACTTGTGGCCATCTCCACGGAAGCCTTCCGGGCAATTGCAGCCAGAAAGATCTAATGCCTGAATTACATTCAAAGGGTAAGTTTAAATAAAAAAAAAAAAAAAAGTCACAGTGTTCATGAGATTCATAATGGATTGAATATGAATCTGATTCATACATAAAGAGTATGAAACTGATTTATACATAAAGAGAAACAGTATGACAAAACAATTAGAGTCACTGAACTGAACAAGCCGAGAAAGTCTTGCCATTCCTTGTTTCTGACCAGCAACCACCATTGTTTATGTTACATCGGCCCGGTCCATGAGCTGTAAAATGAAACATGCATGAGCTGTAAAAAGAAATTGTGGAACTTGACAGTAGCTACCAACAATCAACATGTCATGTAACAATTTTTTAACAAATTCGGATTTCCTTTAAAGGGGCGTTTGGTTCGTAACCTGGTATGGGGTTGACATCAGGAAAAAACCTTGGTTGTATGGGTTTTGAACTTGATTCTTAATACCATATATTTGGTGTGATTATAGAATGAAGTTTTTTTTTTAATTTTTTTTTTCTTTTATTTGATATACACGTTAAAGTATGGGAACGAGCCAAACTCACTCCCCCTCCTCCCCGGTTTCTAAACCCCAAACCTTGGGTGTTTGAAGTACGAATTTGAAACTCTTAAAATCATAAAACAAACATAAGGTATGGGTTTAAACCATTCTAAACCAATACGTGATACCTTAATTATGTGAACCAAACACCTGATGAGAAGTATGAAAATGAAATCTGGAATGTATTTGTAGTGCCCTTCAGTTTCTGTTTAGGTTGAGCCTTTTTTGGTGCCATTTGTTATTATAATGAGAAGAAAGACTAAACCAACTAGAGAGGACACAAACTGAAGGATTTAGATTATGAAGTACTGCGTATTTGATTGAGCAGATATAGATTATTAAACTTGTTGGCTTGACTTCGTACTAAACTATTAACCTTAATAACATGTTTATTTTAAACTATTTAGCATTAACAACCTGAGAAAACAAGAAGCTGGTGAAAGCTTTTGTTTAGAATTGTATCAACCTTAATGACCTGGTTATATTAAACTATTTTCCCAAAATAATCTTTCAAAAGTGAAAAATGAAACTGGAATTTCAGATATGCATCGGTGTCTGACTTTTAGTGCAATTTATAGTCTTCTCTTCCATAAAAATGTTTTTTACTAGAAGAGAAGAAAATCTGAATTGCTTAATAACTTGTAATTTTGTTCATTGCATTATGTACAGTTCTGTAATATGATTTTACAGTTACTATCATAATTTTACTAGTTTAGTACTAGTAATAGATTCTGGTTTGTGACAATTTTTATGGAAGTATAAACTGATATCATTATAAATTTGTAATGCAGAAGCAGATTACCTTTGCATGTTGTATAACCATCTCCTTGATACTGAACTCCTGCCACAAGAGGACATTCGCAAACTTTTCCTCGGAATGTGTCCTGGTAGCGGTTAAGTAAATAATTATCTGTGAAAATAACAGCTCTGAAACATATGGAAAGTACAACTATGACCTGAAGAAAACCTAATACCTTGCAGGCTGTGATGTTGGCTTGTGTATCCTGCCAGCATCCACCATTGTTTTCAAGACACTCGTTAGTCTCAATTCCTGCAGGTTTTTTTAACAAGCAAATTAAATATCAACAACAGAAACTGAGCTAAAGTTGCTGCGACTGTAGATAGGGACTTGCAGATGAACCTCCTGACAAACATATTGGTGGATCAGTTGTTTCCTTGAAGGCAGAACATACGGCCTTCAGTACAGCACTTCTCTCCAGTTTGCCTAGCAAAATGGTACACATAGATGAGAATCTAGGGTCTTTCGATCAATTTGCTTATGCACAAGGTTTGTTTTGAGTAATAAGATGCATTCTTTCAAGTGTTAGGCATGGCATGTGCATCAAACAGATGAAAGTAATTCATTTACATTATACAAAACCCAATATAGAAGCAGGGAAAAACCTTGTCATTTCGAAATATTTGAGAAACAACTGGAGAAGTTGGAATAAAAAACCCTACTTATTACATAGAAATGAATGCTGCAAAGGAAAATATAAACAAAACAATAGCCGTAAAAGGAATCAGGACACTGAGCACTTATGTACTGTTCTACAAATGAATACTGCAGCAAGGGAAACATTTTTGTAGTTCTCTCAGGTAATTGAAAAGCATAGATTGGACAAAAAAATGCTTGATAAGAAGATTATTAAGCAGCTCCACTGATTACGGGCATCCTCAAGTTAGACCATGCTTCGATACCAATGATTTCAAGCCAGACCGAGTTATATTTGACTCAAATGAAAGCAACTTCATTAGCAACAAAGTCATTTATATATGCTAGTATAAAACCTTTTTCACTTTAGACATCAGAACTGTGAAGGAGAAACATTCGTATAGATCTTCAGCTCGCTCTGCAATCTAATTTAAGTTGATACCAAACTAACCTCTGTATTGCACATCGTTGATAACCAATGTGGGCAATATAGTGATATCACCGCGTGATCCTTTTCCAATCTGTTTTAAAAGTGAGATACAACATTATATTGTCATAGCTCAAAATGTACCAAGTTATTTTAAACAATATTCACTGAAACTGCTAAAGTAATGATACCTGCTTGTCTTGTTCATTTTTCAATATTTCATTATCTGCATCAGCTTCTGGATTTCCCATGCACTTTTCAATTTTATCAACCGGAAGATCTATTGGAATGAGAGCAGCATTTATTAGGCAAAAATACATTAGCAGACCAAAATTTCACTAGTCTCAGTACTAAAAACTTCTAAGGAAATAGTTTGACTAGAATGACTTACTAAGAGACTTCAAGACATCCTCAGCACATGTTTTAGTGTATTTCTTCTCCTTCATGGAACACCGAATATGGAAATCAGTAACATAATCCCACCAAACCCATGACCTGTTCTCAGATTTCGCAACACTATGAACACAAAGCTGCCTCAAATTCTCAAACACAACATCCTTCCCTTCATATCCTTCCCCAAAATCCTGCTCAGGGTCAGGAGCACAATACCTTCCTCGGTTTATACATTGTGACTTGCACTGACTGCTGAGTAGAAATGGCTCAGGACAATACCAAGTTATGTAATGAGGGGTAAATAGTGTATAACCCTCCTTTTCAAGAATCTGTGCATGACCCTTAAAGTCCTTAATAAAATCCATCTGGTCCTTGCATCGAATCCCACATTCATCGTTGCTGTTAGTCCACAGCTCGTATTCAACCCGACCATCTGGGTTTGGCATTGCCTCTGACCAGTCTAGTTTTACCACAACTTCATTACCCTTCTTCAATTCGTCTTTTAAGCTATCGCCGAAGTCTTTCTCAATGAGAACAGAAGGGACTTCAAGCTTATCAATGAACCCATCTGCATCACTAGTTTCCTCCGGCGAGTCCATCGTTATTAAGTCTTCATCTATGCTATCTGCAACCAAAACTGCTGCTGCTCCAGCTTGTTGTGCATTCCATGCTTTCAGGGCAAAGTAGCATTCTATTGACATAAAATGAAGATGAAGTCAGCAATGTTGTTTTTATTTCTTACAGGAATAGTATCTCCTAAAATTAGAAGGGAAGCTTTAACCACTTGAGTTATCCCTCACTTTCATGTCAATGTTATTTTTCTGTAAATGTTCATTTGTAGGAAAATATTTCCCATTTCCTTTTTTAGTTTGTTAAGGGGTAGGAAACAATTTTCCGAAGGTGAAAAATAGCTCTTCTAACGTGTAAAACGTCCGTTTTTCTTCTAAAATTATTTATCATTGAAACAAACGAACTGTATTTAAACTATTTGGGTGTGTCAAATTTTTTTATCACGAGATTATGATGGAATTAAGCATTAGGAATAAAGATAGTGCAACATATGAATTAGATCAACACAAGTCAAGGAATTTAGCAGTAGAGAGATAGCTTTTCAAGTTTTTTCTTAAGCACCTTTCTGACAAAAATACCTAGATTGTTGTTCAGCAGCTACTATCCCGAGTTGTTGAGTAGGTAGTTATAAGTTCACGTCATTTGAATTTGATACTTGATAGTTGATATAATTAGGAGCAGGTTGCTTATCTTGGGAGTGAAAACAAAAAATACACCATTATACATAAAGGGTTACACACTTCCACATAAACGACTAAATGTTTAATATATTTCTGAGTTGGTATTAATCTAAGAATACTTGAAATAAATCACGTAATTATACATAAAGGGTTACACACTTACACATAAACGTTCAATATATTTCTTAATTATTGGTATTAATCTAAGAATACTCGAAATAAATCACAAGTCGATCATTGTAATTATATGCTTAATGATAATTCCATTTTAAAGGGAGCAACCTATAACTTTTATTTCAATTTAGTCTTGCTAGATAGCCTAGATTTCCTTCAAAGATGGATGAGAATCGATTCTTGGATCACCTGGACTCAGGAGGGGAGCTCAAACCACTTGAGCTATCCCTCACTCTCTTATTAGAAGGTATTTAATTATCTAATACTTTTTGTTTTTAATTTTCCAATTGGCCTACCAAAAATTTATCTACTATTTTACAATTTTCTCCTTTGCTTGTGTTGCTACTTGCTTCTAATCAAGTGAAATTCTTCAATCACCTTAACATTGGTTTAATATACTACGTATTATCTCTCTTGTTTAATTAGGATTATACAGGAAAACTTGTAGAGAAAACCACATTTTGTAACACACATTTTTTGTATATATATATAAAATCACCTTATAATTATTATTATTTTTTTTATTAATTTTTGTTTTTTATGACTACCTTATATGAACAATTTGAGTTCAATACTTCAATTTGAGTTGTTAGCACTACCTTGATACGGAAATTATTTACTTTTTCAACACTGAGGCCCACCACTAACGACATGAATTTGATTAAAATTACTGTAATGACTAAATCTTTCGATCCTTAACATTTTTTTAATGACAATTTCATAGTTGTCCATATTTTTTTAGCGATAGTATCATTAATTATGTGTAACTAAATTTACAAAATATTTATATTCACATCAGCATACGACACATGGAATATTTCAAATGGAACAAACGTAAAATAAGGGGTTTGAAAATTTGCATTGACTTAAATTAAGAGCTAAGGAGTACTAGTAAAAGTCAATAATCAACTTAAAATCAAACGATCAAAGGAAATGGTGCAAGGAAAACAAACCTCCACGATCAACAAGGAGAAAACTAGGTCTTGAGGTATGAGATTTAAAAGGCTTAACACCATCAAAACTCTTACAAGCATTAATATTATGATCAGGATAAACCACTGAACCCACCATTGATCCTCCATACTCTGGTACTCCAAAATTTGCTATTGAACCATCATGCTTTGCCTTTAAACTATACGGTTGCAACACCGTTATGCTGTTCTTCTCCACCACAAACCTCCCACTCGTACATCGCGTCGCAACGACTATCACCACCAACACAACCACCATCAACCTCCCTTCCCTATTCATACTTGTTTTTTATTCAAAAAAAAAATAAAAAAGAAAAACCAAAACCAAACTTGTTTTTATTTTTATTGTATTGTTTATAAGGTAAGGTGGTTTAGTTGGGGTATATATGGAAGTTGGGTTGACGAAACAAACAAGATTTGATCATGTAAGGTGGAAGAGTATATAGGAATGACAAAATTGGAGTTAAATAGACTCGAAAGCGAGGGAAGGAAGGCCAAGAGAAGGACTTGCTTACTAGAGACTTTCTTTTTGGTTTTATTCACAAGACTTGTGTTGTGCGTTTACTTCAAGTTTCTTACTCTGTCCATTCCTATATAAAAATTTGTTTTCTTCATCTTCATTTCCTAAATATTTTTCCCATGTATAAGACAAAATACCGTTAATTTTATTGTAGATGGTCAATTTAAAGATAAATTTAGCAACTTTTATAGTAACTTATATTTTTTTAAGGGTAACGTTTAATTTGTAATGAGTTTGATTATATTACAATATGTAATTTCTAATAGATATATGGTATGAAGGCTAATACTATTATTAATCTAAATACATTATAGATGTTTTTTAAGGGTAAAATTTATGTTAAGAAAATGGTAACATTTGTATTATTTTAGGGTAGCTTTAAATACTTTTAGATAACTTAAACACATCTTACAATAATTTAATGAAAGTCCACCTTAATAAAAAATCTAGTCTAAGACCCGTGTTATGCATGGTTATTTTACTAAAACCCAGTTTATTATTTTACTAATTGTATAATAAAATTTTTTATAAGACACTTGTTAATATAATTAATAGAATATTAATGTTACTTTGTAAAAAAATTAGTTAAGCTATTTCTACTATCCCGTTAATGATATATATATATATATATATCCGTTTATTAATTATCAAAACACTTTCTTAAAATGGAAATGTCATACTACTTGAACATACTATAATTGTAAAAATATTACAGGGAAAGTTGTATCATTAACCTAATTCAAATCTGATCTCACGCCCACATAATTAGTCTCCTAACTGTTTCTTAACTTCATTTTGAGTGTATTAAAACATGAAAGACCCACTTTTCTTAAATACCGTGAAAAAGTATGTGTTACTGAAAGGAATGGTGTCCTTTCAACAAGTGTATTATTCCGATAGAGGGTTCAGAATTATTGGAAAGCTAATTCTTCAGTAAGGTAAAGTAATCGGAATGCCTAGGTGGAGGTCGCTTCCGATTGGTAATATTAATGTACAATTAATATTACAACTTAATCTTGACAGAACCCTTCGGGTCGAACCTAATCGAACAACCGATCTGAGACGATGAGCTAATCCGAAGGATTTGATGAGTCGTCTGAGTTTTACGAACAAAGACGTCGGATATCGAGCGTAGAGTGTTGAGACCGAGCGTCGCAAGTCGAGTCGAATTTAGAATTCGACAAGATGCAAAATCAATCAAGTTACAAGTTCGAGTTAGGCCGTAGCCTCGCATTGGCCTAGCCATGCGAGAACTAGGCTATCTCGAGCTAGCATGTGCATCGCAATGCTAGCATGCTAGGCGCTGGCGCACAGCTAGCCCAGCAAGCATCGCAAGGCTAGGCCTTGCTAGCATGCTAGGCGCTGGCGCACAGCTAGCCCAACAAGCATCACAAGGCTAGGCCTTGCTAGCATTTTAGGCACTAGCAGCCTTGCACAGCATCGCACAACACCTTGCACCAGCCAGCAGCGTGCTGGACTGTACATGTGTGTGTGTGTGAATCGCATAACATCACACAACACCACGCACCAGCCAGCAGCGTGCTGGGCTGTGCGTGTGTGTGCTAGCTAGCTGGCCAGGTTGCCCAGCCTTGGTGCTAGGCGCTAGCTGGCAGCCAAGGCAGGCTGCCAGCCAACCACTTGGATGGGGAGAGCCGATTTGCTAGTGGGGACCAAGGGGTGTGAGATTTTCCTTGGGGAGCAAGGCTATGGTCCCCCCCCCCCTTGGAAATGGTCCTCACCTAATCTCTCATCCTCCTTATGCCACTTGTAACTTATTGATTGAATTACAATTTTATTTTTGTTTTAGTTAAACTAAAATGGGAAAATTGCAAATCTCCCACATTGATTAAGAGTGGGAATTCAAGGTTCATTTCCCTATAATACCAAGGTTTTGAGATTTGGGAAGAACACTTGAGTGGAACTAAAAATGCATCTCCTTAGAAAAGTGAGAAAACCTTAAGTTCGTAAAACTTTAGTTTTTATTGGTTGGGTCCTGACTAACCTTCGGCAATTGGATCGTTCGGGTCGGGTTTGTGGGTACGAGCCGTCGAAGACCTTCGCATTTGCGGGGTTTGAGTTTTGAAGTAAGAGCTCGGGATTCGAGTGAAGCACGCGCCAAGGGTAAGAATGTCTTTTCCTTCTCTCTTTTAATTGTTGTTTAATTAGTGATTGCATGCTTAGTCGCTTTAATTAGTGTGGGGGTCTTGGGTGGGTTTCTCTTCCGCGTAGAGTCGAACTCTACGAAACCCAACAGTGGTATCAGAGCCGCGCTCACTTTAATTATAGTGACTAATAATTAATTAAGGTGATTTAAAATGGATTTAAATTTCTAGTTGTGCTTTCTAATTGGATTAGAAGTGTTTCGGGGTTTTCTGATGTCCTGCGGGAGAGTTACAATTCCGGGACTGGAACCGTGCGCCTTTACCTGCAAAACAACGGAGACTTCGGGTGGTGGGAGCTCCGCCTTCGACGGTCAAGTTAGTGCTTGTTTTAGGAGTAATTAATGCGGAAAAGTAAAGGTGATTAATATGTTTTGGCTTCTCTTGGTCAGAGTAATTAATTGCTGAATCCCCTTTAATGAGGATTGATTTAAGTATTTATAACCTTGGAAAACGTGTCAAACCCTAGGTTTAGGTTAACCTAGGGTTGACTGGGCTTCCCTTGGAAATTGGGCCCAGGCGACCTACTTGGCGTACGGAGGCCACGTGGTGTGACGCAACTGGTCTATGGTGGACATATCAACTCCTGACACGTGTCAGGCTTCTATTGGCCCATGTGGCGGACACATGGCAGGGCCTGATTGGTCCACTTGTCAGATGATAATTGGTAGGGAAAAATCCCCTAATCATTTGCCCCTCACAGGTGGCACGTGACTGTTCACATGTCACCTGTGACAGGTGTCGGCCTGTAACATGCGACGACCTGCTACAGGTGTCGCCCTATGACGGGCCGAGCATTTTTCCCGCTCATTTTTTTGAATTTAGAAGCGACCCTTTGCATTCTCCTTTTGCCCTATATAAGGGCATGTTGACCAAGTCTTTTGTTCACATTTGCGAACTTTTCAAAAGAACTCTCGGACCCCTGAACTTGAGCTCTGACACTTTGCAACTTCTGACCTGCCGACTACTTCTGACAGGACGACTGCTTTCGTTGGACGACTGCTCTTTTCTTCCTTCCAGAACTCATTACTCAGGTAACCGTCTGCTCTTTGTGTTTTATTTTCTTTCTTTTTGAAAATGAGGCCTCAAAAGCATCCGGCACGACCTAGGTTAGCAATCAGCCGGTCACTGGGGACGGCTGAATCTAGGACTAGGGGTGCCGACTGCCCTGCGGTACTTCAAACTTTGCGCAAGTCCCGGAATCCAACTGTCTTTATATCTATGCAGGACAGTATGGCAAGGACAAAAAGAACAACGAGGATTGAAAACTCTGATGGATCCTCTTTTCGGGTTCAAATTAGCGAGCTGTCGGACCCGCCACCTGATACTACAGGGACCCAAGGTGGCCCTTCTGCCGAGAGCTCTGAGGAGGGAGCTAAGGTAGTCCCTTTCCACTTCTTTATTGACCTGGCTAGTCAGCAGACGGCCCCTGAAGAAGAAGCGGGGTCGGCCCCCTCAGGGAGAGGGGAGGAGTCGGACCCTTCTGATAATGAGTCTGACTCTAGCTCTTCAAGCCGCCTCTCCATAAACTTAGAGGAAAGGCATGCTCGATTGCATGAGGCGAGAATTTCTCATGCGACCGAAAAAGGGGACGGCTGGTCGGAACCATCCGCCTCTCATAGGGAACAAAATACCCCTTACTATTGCCACGTTCCAATGGGCCAAATCAAGGCCATGAAGGATCGAATAGACTCTTTTCTATCGGACCATGTGATGGGTCTTGATTTCCAAGTTTTTGTGCCGGATGGTGAGGATACAGTCGTCTGGCTCGTAGGGTCTAGCTACGGAGACGCCTGTTTTGGCTGCTTAAAGCTAGTCTGCGATTTCCCTTGCATCCGACCGTTCAAAAAATCCTCGATGGATACGAGGTGGGGCTATGGTAGTTAGCCCCGAATTCCTGGTTCAACATCCTCAGCTACGTATCCGGGTGTGAAATGCATGGGGTGGAGTCGAATTTTGAGGCGTTCACCCATATGAATTACCTCAGCCGAACCCCCAAAGCAAGCGGTACCGGCTGGTATCAAATAACGAGCCACAAAGGCTATCTGATGACAAGGGGCAAAGAAAATAAATGGAAGGATTGGAGAAACACCTTCCTCATCATTGCTAGCCCTGACAAGCTGATGAATAAGCGCTACAATAGGTGGAACAGGGATCCACCTCTTTTAGCAGGCGGTCGCAGCATGCCGCTTATTCCCCTTAAGGCCAGGGAAGAGATCCTGGACCGAGGGCTGTTCAAAGTAGAGATTAGGGCCAACTCTACTACGGGGGAACAAGAGCAGGTGCCCTTGCACTGCGTTCCCAAATTCAAATGGCTCTATGATGAGTTTTTTTCTGGCCGCTTGCAGCCTTAGTAGTCGGTCCTCCAGAGGTAGCCGGCCTCTTGAATATACGTACCCTTCTTTTGATTTATTTTTGAATTTTTTCTAACTCTTGTGGTTCTTATTTGCAGTTGACGCTATGGACCAAATCTCTGCTTCAAAGAAGGCGACTGCCTTGTTGCGAGCCTCCATCATGCAACAGAAGCGGACCTCTTTTGATTCTCCTGCTAAGGAGACGCCCATAGTGAGTTTATGATCCTTCAAACTTTGCCTTGAAAGTCTGCTATTATTAGTATTGACATTTCATCTTATTTCGTAGGCGGGCACTTCCAAATCCTCTTCCTCCCAACAGCCGGACTTGAAGGTTCGGAAGACGACTGGTGGGAGTACGCCTGGCTCTGCTAGGAAACAGTCGGCTGACAAGCAGCCAATAACCCCACAAAGTGTGGGGAACCCATCTCAAGTCCTTAGTCGGCCGCCAAGAAGTATAAACTGCTCTTGCTAGACTTAACTTATTTCTTCATTGCTTTCTTCACATTTCTGATGTTTTTCTTTGTTTTGAGGCGGCCCTCAAGAACCAGACTTGGTCCAAGTGGCCAAGTCTATGATTAAGGCCGTCCCTCTAGAGGAGAGGGACGCGGTCAAGGGAGTCGGCACCCTTGACCTAGACGGCATCCTGGGTCTCCTTTCTGTGGTAGACTTGGAATATTTTTAAAGTGCTAATTTTTTCGTTCCGCCTGTTATTTTTAAATCTGACGCCTGTTTTCCCTTTTTCCAGACCATGCTGCGAGTACACGGCCTTTGGAGGCCGATTAGCGCCAAGAACAAAGAGGTAAAGGCTGCAAAGCTATGACCCCCTCTAACGTTGATAAGGCAATGTTTCAAATTGCCCAAAATGAAATTTTGACAACTGATATTCTTTATTATCAGGCGCAGACCACTTCCATTATCCAGACTTAGTTGGAGGCGGCCAAAAAGAACAATAATGAGCTGGAGTCAAAGGTCAAGAGCCTTAACGATGAGCTGCGGCCCCTTAAACACATTGCCCACAAGGCTGAAGGTCTGCAGACGTCTCTTGAAACACTCAAGAAGCGCCTGGAGAGGCAAGAGGCGACCATCTCAAAAGATCTCAATGCAAAGGACGAGGCTGAAAAGATGGCTTTAGCTCAAGCCATGATGGAGGACTCGGCCCAAATTATGAGGATGACCTGGACAACCTTCTTCCCAAAAGCTCACTATGCCGCCTAGGAGAAGAAGTTTAACGCTTGTACTGAAAAGTACAACCAACAGATCATGAGGCAGGCGGCTGAAGAGGACGAGGCGGCCGAGTCTAGCTCAGAAGAAGAAGTGGAGGAGGTAGCCCTGCGGCCGATTGTGGCGGATGCATCCAAGGAAGCTGTCCCTGATGCTGAGACAAGTAAGAAAGATGCCTCCCAGAACCAGGCGTCCCTTGCTGATCAGGCGGCAGCCAATACTGAAACCCTGCCTCAATCTTAAAGCTTTTGTATCTTTAACTTTTCTTCGGCCTGCGTGCTGTTTATTTTTGTCTCTTTACCCGGCCAGGGGGCCGTGGTATTTGAATATTTTGCCGGTCTTTATGGCCGGCTGTTTATATGAATTCAGCGACCATCTTTTGGTCGTCTCTGCTCATTGACTTTTTCTTCATGCTTTATTTTTGAATATTTTCTAAGTGTCGAGGATCCTTGATATCCGCTTGCCTGTCATACTGACTGTTTTGGCTAAATTTGTAAGCCAAAAGTTGCGAACAGGTACGAAGTGTCGACTGCCTATGCCCCTGGACGACTGGTTGTCTTGGTTCCAGGTTAGGCGATCAGTCGACCATTTATTCAGTCGGACCCCAACATATTTTAGACAATACGTTAGGTTTGTTTAACTTTTTCAAGTTAGAAAGGAACATGCCGTCTATAACTAGCCTGCCTGTTAGTTAAGATAGAAATAGTTCTTGAGTCCTTGCTTGCCAAAAAGCAGTCGACCTACGAACCAGATTTTCAAATGTGTTTGGTTTGAAAAGAAATCGTCTTAGCAGGGTCGGGGTATGAGAGCTCTGGTTCGCCTTTAGACAGGCGGACTCGTCATACCTTTTGAATTTTTTGCTAAGTATGAGAGAATGACATATGGGCAATCTTGGAGGTTACCCATTCGTCATCTTTTATGCTTGAGTAGTAGAGGCACCAGGCGACGTAGGCCGGCTGATCCCCTTGATTCGCCAATGTTTGTTGGCTATTAAATCAAGAAGTACCGGCTGTACTTATCCCAAGTAATACAGACGGTTATCTGACTCGGAAGTTAACAGCTAACACTTGTTTGGTTTAGTGTTAGATTTATCCTTGTCTCAAAAACGCTACGTGGTTGTCCTTGGGGACAATCGTTTGGGTGCCGTGTAATTAGTTTATAGAATAATGTTCCACCCAAAAGGGAGCTCCTCTCTGCGACGAATTTCATCCGGAGGGATGCCGCCAGACGCCTGCTATGGTGTTGGGACAGGTCGTATTAGTTTAAAGATTGGATCAGTTGGGTGGGCGCCTGGTCTGATCATTCGGCCGTAAGCCTTAGATAGTTCTTGAAGAACTAAGTATAGGAGAGTAGCTGACTGTATAGGTACAGGCATCTTGCCCCTCTTAATTAAATTCATATTTGAGTAAAATGGAGAGTAGCCGACTGTTTTACTAGTTTGGCATGCCCCTCAATTGAAAGAAAAAAAACGGAGAGTAGCCGGCTGCTCATGGAGTAGGCGGCATGCCCCTCATAATACAAAATAGATGAAGTAAAATAGCAAACTTTTATTACTAGCTCTTGGCTATTTACATCATTCATAAATAATACTTCTTGAGATTATCTACATTCCAGGTTCGAGGCAAGGGTTGGCCGTCTGGTGTTTCCAGGCGATAGATGCCGTCCCGAACCTCTTCGAAGATTCGGTAGGGTCCTTCCCAGTTGAGATTTAACTTGCCTGACTCATTAGCCCTACCGACTGCTTCCATTTTTCCGAGTACAAAGTCCCCAACTTTGAGTGGACGCCTGTGCACTCTTTTGTTATATGACCTTATCATTCTCAGACGGTAGATTTCATGGCGCAGGGCTGCATTGCCCCTTCTTTCTGGAAGTGAGTCCAATGCCAGGCGCATGGACACCCAGTTCGCCTCTTCGTCATACAACATTACTCGAAGAGTTAGGAGGAATGGAGTTTCTCCAGTCGACCCTTTTTCAGTCATCCTACTGGCCCAGAGAACATGTGGTAGTTCGTCTGCTCATAGGCCGCCTACTCGTTCAATCTTCTTCTTAAGTCCGTCTGAGATGATCTTATTGAAAGCTTCCACTTGGCCGTTTTCTTGAGGACGGCCGACTGATGCAAAGCAGTGCGAGATGCCTTGGTCTCCCAACCAATTTTTCAGAACAGGCGTCTTAAATTGGGGACCATTATCAAAAACCATAGACATGGGCACCCCGAACCGAGTGATGACGTTTTTCCAGATGAATGAGATCACATCCTTCGTCTTAATTCCTTTGACAGCCTCGGCCTCAACCCATTTGGTGAAGTAGTTGACTGCAACAAGTATGTACTTCCTGCCGCCTGTAGCAGGCGTGTAGAGACCAAGGATATCCATGCCCCACTTAGCAAACAGTAGTGGGCTATGGATGGCAGTGAGATCAGTAGTCGAACGATGAATTAACTTGCCAAACCTTTGACACTTGTCACATTTTTTCACCATTTTCACGGCGTCTGCTTCTAAGGTAGGCCAGAAGTAACCCTGCCGCCTTGCTCGTTGAGCAAGCAACCTACCGCCTACATGAGAGGCGCAGTATTTAGAGTGCAGATCTTCTAAGACCTCTCGTCCTTTTTCTGGGGTAACACATTTCAATAGGGGTTGAAGGTACCCTTTCTTGAAGAGTTCCCCTTTTCGCATCTCAAAACTGGACGCTCGGTTTCTCAGTAAAGCCGCCTGGTAATGATCATCCGGCAAGATGTCGTTTGTTAAGTATGCCCTGATTGGGTTCATCTAGGTTGAACTTCGATCCAGAATCCCAACAGGATCTTCTTCAATACTTCTCTTCTCCATAACCTCCCAAAAGACAGTTCTTGGAGTATCACAGGAGGCCGAGGATGCCAACTTTGAAAGAGCATCCGCCAGATTATTTTCAGACCTAGGCACCTGAGTTAGATGAAACTCTTTAAGGGACCCAACTGCTTGTCGTACCGCTTGCAAATATCTTATCATGGCCGGATGGGTTGCTTCGTATTCGCCATTATACTGACTCACTATCAATTGTGAATCAGAGCAGGCGTCTATTTTTCTTGCCCCAGCCGCCTTGCACATGTGGATACCGGCTAGTAAAGCTTCATATTCAGCCTCGTTGTTCGAGGCTTGGAAGTTGAAACGTAGAGCGTACTCATACCTGTCGCCTTCTGGCGACACTGATGATAAGCCTTCTTATCATGGGTTGAGAGAAGCATTTTAGGGTGTGTTTTGATGCTTTATATGTACTTTTGTTAGCTTTTGTGAGTTTTGGGCTGTGATCTCACTTATGTGCAAAAGGCGGGATTTATGAGTATGAGTGAGTGAGCTCGGGAACCAATGAAGAGTTATGTAAGAAGGATGGACCTTGGCTCGTGATTTGAGAGTTGTGATGGAGCATGGAAGAGCAAGGAAGAAAGCTTGAGGAAAAGGTGAAGCAAAGCAAGAAGAAGAAGCAAGGAAAGAAGGCGAAAACAGCAGGAACCGCTGCCAGGGCCGCTGGCAGCTGGCCAGAGCCGCTGGCAGCGGGTATACCAGAGTGAGGGGCTGCCAGAGCAGCTGCCAGCGGGTCCAGAGCAGCTGGCAGCGGCTCTGGCAGAAATTCGGGCTGTTTTGGTTAATTTTCAGCAATTTGGCTTTGTTTTGGCTCGTGTTTTGGATATTATTTTATTATTATTATTGTGTTATGTTATTAAAATATAGAAACATATAAATAGCTTAGTTTTAATTAAGTTTGGAGGAAGAAAAAAGGAGAATTAAGTTTTGAGAAAAAAAAGCTTTCTAGGGTTTTCTTGGAATTTTCAGAATTCTTTGTTTTGGAATTAGAATCCATGGAAGCTTAATCTTCCGGATTCTTGGTTAAAGATTGAAGCTTTTAGCTACGAATTGTGAGATCTTTCTTCTCTTAATATCTATTGAATATATATTGTTCCTTGAATTAATTTCATGATTTGCTTTAATCAATTGCTAGGTTAGAATTATTGGATTCGCTTGCATCTAATTAATCTTTCCAAAGTAGCAACTTTAGGTTATTGATGCATGCTTTTGGTTGATAACTTGAAGAGGGAATAATATTATTGAAGAAATTAGACCGCTTGTGTTAATTTATTCAATCCTTGTTGATTTCTCCGTTTATTTTCTTCTTGTGGATAATTTAGAGCGCTTGTATTGAATTGTGCATTGGAAAGGGTTAGAAAGGAGCGCTTTGCTATTTCTAACTATTTATGAGAATTTAGAATCTAGGAATTCTACAACAAGGTGTTCAATAGAGCTTGATTGAGGAGACTTCTATGATCAATTTGTATGTTCATTAGTGGATTTCGCATAACCAAGACCGTTCTTCTCATTGATTACCTATTCATTACGTTCGTTGTTCTTACTTAGTTCATTTATCATCATTGCTCGTGAAAACCCCCCTCGTTACTTAGGTTACTACCGTCCTAGAGTATTTCCACTTAGGTTTCCAGTTATTAGTCCCTTTTTCCCTGTGGATTCGAACTCGACTTCCCTAACTACGTTTATTTGCAGTTAGCTTAGTTGTGATATTTTTGGTTGCATACGACTGAGGCACACCAAAGTTTGGCGCCGTTGCCGGGGAACTAGGCGTTACCGTTTAATTGTTTATCTTAGTAGAATTTATTTTAGGATTGTTCTTAGCTTTTTTTTTTTCTTTGTTTGTTCGCTAGGGTATGATAAGTACCCGTTCTGCTAACAAAGAAGTTTTGCAGTTTGATCCAGAAATTGAAAGAAATATTTCCAGGTTGCGAAGAGAGGCAAGAACAAACCCCAGTGAATCAACATACATCTTCAACATTCAAGAAGAGGAAGTGATGGCAGAAAATCGAACACTGAGAGAGCTAACAGCTCCTAACTTGAACCAACAGCCGTTGTGCATCGCATATCAGCAGTTGGAGGAAGGTGCTAATGTTGAGATCAAATCTGGTCTAATTCATCTATTGCCGGCATTCCATGGCATGAAGGGTGAAGATCCAAATAAACATCTGGCAGAATTTCATGTGGTATGTACTAGCATGAAACCGATTGGGATGACTGATGAGCAAATTCAGTTGAGAGCATTTCCTTTTTCTCTCAAAGATGCAGCGAAGGATTGGTTTTACTATCTTCCCCCAGGGAGCATAACAAATTGGGCAGGTTTGAAGAAGTGTTTCTTAGAGAAGTATTACCCAGCCACTATTTCTGCAAGCCTTAAGAAAGCTATCAGCAATGTGGATCAGAAGGAAGATGAGTCCTTGTATGAGTATTGGGAGAGATTCAAGAGATTGTGTGCTAGTTGTCCGTACCATGGGTATTCCGATCAAGACCTCATCCTATACTTCTATGGAGGTCTAACAGATGATGATTTGAGGATGGTGAATGCAGCAAGTGGTGGAGGGCTAGTGAATAAGACTCCAGGAGATGCAACTAGGCTGATTGCAGAGCTAGCAGAGAATTCTAGGCAGTTCAGTCAGAGAACTCCCACGCGCCGGGTGAATGCAGCAAATTCAAATACAACTGAGTTAGAGAGTCAAGTAGCTGATTTGACTTCTATGATGCGTGAGTTCATGGTGAACTCAAGGAATCCACAGCAACTGAATGCTTGTGGTTTATGCACCTCCACAGGACATCCCACTGATGCATGTCCTCAATTACAAGAGGAACAGAATGAGCAGGCCAATGCAATGGGTTTCCAAGGGCAAGGTCCTCAGAGAAGATATGATCCATATTCGAATACATACAATCCAGGATGGAGGGATCATCCAAATTTGAGATATGGGAATTCCCAGGGGAACCAACAACAACAGCAAAATGCTCAAGGCCAGCAGCAATATCAGCAATATAGGGCACCATTGACCAAACCTCAAGGCCAAAGCTCAAATTCGAATGATATGTCAACTGATGAAATGATTAGATCACTAACTTCTAATGTTTCTACTATGCAGCAAAACATGGTGCAATTCCAGCAAGAGACCAAATCCAGTATTCAGAATTTGGAAAGTCAAGTGAGTCAAATTTCAAGTGCAGTGAGCAGACTTGAAGCTAAGGATTCGGGAAAACTTCCATCTCAAACGGAGTTGAATCCTAAGCAACAAGCCAACGCTATTACATTGAGAAATGGCAAGGAGCTGAAAGAGACTGAAATTGCAACTAAGAGGGCTGAAGAGTTGATTGGAGCTGAGGAGAAGGAAGTGGAACATGAAGCTGTAGCAAATCCTCCCACTTTTCCATCTTATGAACCCACACCACCTTTTCCTGAAGCTTTGAAAGAAACGAAGAGGTATGAGAAGGACAAAGATATCTATGAAACATTCAGCAAGTGTGAGGTAAACATTCCCCTTTTGAATTTAATAAAGAGTGTTCCTCGATTCGCTAAATTTTTGAAAGAACTTTGTACTATTAAGAGGAAGCACAGGTTAGGAGGGAAGGAAAAAGTGAAAGTCAGTGCTCATGTTTCTGCAGTTTTCCAAAAGAAACTTCCTGAAAAATGCAGTGACCCTGGTATGTTTACTATTCCAGTTACAATAGGGGACACCACTTTTCGTAGAGCAATGTTGGATTTGGGTGCATCAATTAATGTTATTCCATATTCACTGTTCAAATCTTTGGAACTTGGACCCTTACATGACACCGGGGTAGTGATTCAATTAGCTGATAGATCAAATGTTTATCCTAAGGGAGTAGTGGAAGATGTGCTTGTGAAAGTTGATGAACTAATTTTTCCTGCTGATTTTTATGTGCTTGATATGGAACATGATAGACAAGCAGTACCCATCTTGTTAGGAAGACCTTTCTTGAAAACTGCTAGGACTAAAATTGATGTTTTTACTGGTTCTTTGACTATGGAGTTTGATGGACAAGAAATTGTGTATAACATCTATGATTCCATGAAATACCCTGTTGACACTCATTCTTTGTGTTCCATTGATATCATTGATCCTATAGTGCAGGATGTCTTCAATGTTGAGGGCGAGGATGCGCTCCTCACTTCCATTTCTAATGATTTATCTGCTGATTGTTTGGATATTCCTTTGCCTAATAGTGTGCAGATGATGGTAGCAGAGTTGAATGGTCATTCCAAGCTTCCACTTAGACCACCAGGTTCGACACCTACCCCATTGACAGTGCCTACTGATAAACTCTTACCTTCTGTTTTGCAGGCACCCCAGGTGGAGCTAAAACCACTTCCTGATCATTTGAAATATGTGTTCCTTGGTCAGAAAGATACTTTACCTGTTATAATTTCAAGCAAATTGACCAAGGAGCAAGAGGACAAGTTGGTGACAGTGCTGAAAGAGCACAAGTTAGCTATTGGATGGACCATTGCAGACATTAAGGGAATAAGTCCATCCACTTGCATGCATCGTATTCTGTTAGAAGATGATGCCAAACCTGTGAGGCAACCTCAGCGTCGCCTAAATCCTCCCATGATGGACGTGGTAAAGAAGGAGATCATAAAATTATTGCAAATAGGAATGATATTTCCTATATCTGATAGTAAATGGGTCAGTCCTACGCAGGTGGTTCCTAAGAAAAGTGGTGTGACTGTGGTAGAAAATCAACAGGGTGAAATGGTTCCTACTAGAGTTCAAAATGGTTGGCGAGTTTGCATTGATTATCGTAGGTTGAATGCAGTAACTAGGAAAGACCATTTCCCTTTACCTTTTATTGACCAAATGATTGAAAGACTTGCAGGGAAATCCTATTACTGTTTCCTTGATGGGTATTCTGGGTACTTTCAAGTGCCCATTGCACCTGAAGATCAGGAAAAGACAACTTTTACATGTCCTTTTGGCACATTTGCTTATCGCCGTATGCCTTTTGGCCTATGTAATGCACCTGCAACCTTTCAGAGATGCATGATGAGCATCTTTTCTGACTTTGTTGAGCATTTCATGGAGGTATTTATGGATGATTTCACTGTGTATGGTGATTCTTTTGATAAATGCTTGCATCACTTATCTATGGTCCTCAAAAGATGTATTGACTCTAACCTTGTCTTGAATTCTGAGAAATGTCATTTTATAATCCAACAGGGCATTGTGTTAGGTCATGTAGTTTCTTCTAGAGGTATTGAGGTTGATAAGGCTAAGATTGACACTATTCAGTCTCTTCCTTATCCTACTAATGTGCGTGAAGTGCGTTCTTTTCTTGGCCATGCAGGTTTCTATCGTAGGTTCATTGAGGGATTCTCAAAGCTTGCAAATGCTATGTGCAAATTGCTGCAGAAAGATGTGAAATTCCACTTTGATGATGATTGCAAGAAGGCTTTCGACGAATTGAAGGCTAAGCTCATTTCTGCCCCTATCATTCAAGCCCCAGATTGGTCTCGACCATTTGAGATAATGTGTGATGCGAGTGATTATGCAGTTGGAGCTGTTTTAGGCCAGAAAGTAGGGAGGGCATCTCATGTGATCTATTATGCCTCAATGACCCTCAATTCAGCCCAACGAAACTACACTACCACAGAAAAAGAGTTGTTAGCTGTAGTATTTGCTCTAGAAAAGTTTCGATCTTATTTGCTTGGTACTAAAGTAATTGTTTTCACTGATCATGCAGCTCTTCGCCACTTGATGACGAAGAAAGAGGCCAAACCAAGACTAATAAGATGGATTCTGCTCTTATGTGAGTTTGAGTTAGAAATCAAGGACAAGATAGGCGCGGAAAATCTAGTTGCTGATCATTTGAGTCGTTTGACCCATATTGTTGATCAACCATCATTCCAATATCAAATCCTAGGAGAATTTCCGGATGAATCTCTATTTGCTCTTAAGGATTTGCGCCCTTGGTTTGCTAACATTGTGAATTTTCTGGTTTCTCAACAGTTTCCTCCAGGTTTCACAAAGTCTCAAAAGGACAAGCTTCGAACTGATGCGAAGTACTATGCATGGGATGATCCATACTTGTGGAAGTTCTGCTCCGATCAAATCATTCGCAGATGCATTCCCGAAAATGAGGTGATCCCCATTCTCACCTTCTGTCATTCTCATGCTTGTGGAGGACACTTTGGAGCCAAACGCACAGCAAGGAAGGTTCTCGACTGTGGTTTTTACTGGCCAAGTTTGTTTCGAGATTCCTATGGATTTTGTAAATCCTGTGATAATTGCCAGAGAGTAGGTAACATTTCCCAGAAAAGTGAAATGCCCCAATCCTCTCTTCTATATTGTGAAATATTCGATGTTTGGGGTATAGATTTCATGGGACCATTCCCTATTTCTTACGGTTTTACTTATATACTTCTTGCTTGTGATTATGTGTCGAAGTGGGTGGAAGCAATACCCACTAGGACTGATGACTCTAAAGTGGTTTCAGGTTTTATCAAAGCTTACATATTTTCTAGGTTTGGAATCCCAAGGGCGTTGATAAGTGACCGTGGAACACACTTTTGCAACCGTACAGTGAGTGCTTTGTTGAGGAAGTACTCTGTTCACCACAAAATCTCCACGGCTTATCACCCACAAACCAATGGGCAAGCCGAGGTGTCCAATAGAGAGGTGAAGTCAATTCTGCAGAAAACGGTGAATCCGGATAGGAAGGATTGGAGTTTGAGGTTGGTGGATGCTCTATGGGCGTACCGCACCGCATACAAAACACCTATCGGGATGTCCCCTTACCGCCTTGTCTTCGGAAAACCGTGCCATCTTCTGGTTGAGCTTGAGCATAAAGCATATTGGGCTGTTAAGTCATTCAACATGCAAATGGATGAAGCAGGTGAACATCGGAAATTGCAACTCCAAGAACTAGAGGAGATCCGGCTTGAGTCCTATGAGAATGCAGATATTTATAAAGCAAAGACCAAGCTATGGCATGATCGAATGATCACGCGGAAGGAGTTTAAAGTCGGTGACAAAGTACTCCTATATCAATCCCGACTTAGATTATTTCCGGGAAAACTTCGGTCCCGTTGGGAGGGCCCTTTTCAAGTGGTGAATGTATATCCGCATGGAGCAGTTGAAATTCAAAGCCTCGAGACCGATAAGATTTTCAAAGTCAATGGCCAAAGGCTCAAACCCTAATTCGAGGGTTTCAAAACCGAGAACGTGGAGTGCATCGATCTCTACGAGCCATCAATGGAGTAGCGAAGTGGGATGAGCCGCGTCGAGCCAACGACGTAAAACAAAGGCGCTAATCGGGAGGCAACCCGATCGAAACCTTTTCCCCATTTCTTTTCGTAGTTTGTTTTTTATTTTTTTTTTTTTTTTTTTGGTGATGTGAAGTGTTTCTGTTTATTGTTTTTGTGTAGGGGAGGCCTCGGGAGCGATTGTTACGCGCGAAAAGCAGCAAAACCAGCTAAAAAAAACAGACAAAGGGGAGCAAGTGCTGCTGCAACCGCTGGCAGCTGCTCTGCAGCCGCTACCAGCGGCCCTCCCAGCACCCCAGAACCCCTCTGTCTGCCTTAGCCGCTGGCAGCTGCTCCCAAGCCGCTGCCAGCGGGCCCCCCCTCTACGTTTTGTTAATTTCAAAAAAAAAAAAAAAAAAAAAAAAAAAAAAAAAAAATCACCAAAATCTGCCAGAGCCGCTGGCAGCGGGCCTCAAGCCGCTACCAGCGGCTCCTACAGCTCTCCCCGATTTTTTTTTTTTTCCCCTTATTTCCCCCAATTTCCATCTTCTTCCTTCATTATCCCCCAATTCACATCAACCCTAAGCATTTTCTCCTCCTTCTCTCTACTCTTTCACTCCCACACTCCAATTCCACATCTACCCTAGCAATTCTCCTTCCCCAAATCCTTACCTTCCATCAATTCCCTTCACAAATACAACCTAGGTTTTCCATTTGCTCTTGATTCCAAGGGTGACATTGAGTGGTTGTGAGGTTGTGCAACGTGAACTTCTTGTAATTGAAGGTGAGGGTGAAGATTCAAGCATACAACTAAAGTCATGGGAAGGGATAACAAGAGGTCCAAGGCTTCATCTCCATCAAGACCCTCAAGGGGCAAGAAGCAAGGGGCTTCTTCAAGTCAAGGGGAGGCACCTCCATTGCCTCAAGGGGATGGTTTCATGGGTGTTCGGTTGCATTCCAAGGAGAAGGGCGTATGGACTAAGCTTCAACAACCCCGACGAACGGTGCAATGCACCAAGTTCTTGGACTTAGAAGCTTTACAAGAGCTAGAGATGGAGGAATTAGTGCGGCTCTTGCTAAGGAACGTGGGTCTCGAGAATTTCATGACCAAATGCGCTCCCACCTATGTCAGGTATACATATGAATTCCTTTCAACGCTTACTAAAGGACGTGAACAAATATCCTTTAATTTGAACAATAGGAATTATGTGATGTCTTATGATGATTTGCGTATGGCATTTGGTTGGGATGCACCCCCATTGGTGAACCGTTGGGGTGATCATAGCTCATACTCGTCCCGAGTATTTTGGAGGGCTATAACTGGTTGTGAGGTTGATCCTCACGGTGATCATAGCTTCAAAATCACCCACCCATGCCTTAGACTGGTGCATAGGTTTATATCGTCCACTATTCTATGCCAAGGGGAGGCCACTAAGGTCCCCAAAGTCACATTGTCGTATTTGTGGGCGATGACCCCTGAAGGTGTCGGTACGCCCAATTGGGTGGAGATTTTTGTTGATAGTTGTGTAAAGGTGAAGTCCAACTCCAGTGGCCATATTAGTATGGGTGGCATGGTCTCTTTGCTAGCCTGTTATTTGAATGTTCCACCCCCTGAGGATCTTGTGCCAGTAGACTCGACATACTTGACATATAACATCATGACTCTGGTCAAGATCGGTTTATTATCGCGTTCCCCCGTCGCCGGTAGTTATTTCTGGCGATACGGACCGCAGGGTTTGAACTATTTGAGACTTCCTCGTCCCGAGGGACGAGCATTACCTTTTGGCCCTACTGCTGCAGACTTTTTCCTTCCGCCCGACCCGGATGTTGCTCCTTATTTGGGAGATGCTGAAATCATAGTTGAGAACATGGGAGAGGAGAATCCCGATGTTCATATGGGCGGAGAGTTTGTTGATGAGGAAGGGGGTGAGGATGCTGCTGGAGTGCAGCACGATGATTGGCCTCGATGGAGGGCTGATGTGGATGATAGACTAGAGGAGGTGTGCGATGGGATGCACGAGCTGCTTGCATATCAAAGAAGCATGAGTCGGTTTTACACCACTCAGTATCCGCAGTATGAGCCTCCAACTGAGGCGTTCATGGATCATTTGGCATCCCGTGCTTTGCGTCGTTCCGAGAGGCGTGCTTCTCGGGGCGATGCCGGCTCTTCTGGCTCTGGAGGTCCCTCTCATTGAGATGGTAACGATTTTCTTCCTTTTCCCTTACTTTTGGTTTCATTGTAGTTGTTCTTGCATCGAGGACAATGCTTCATTCAAGTAGGGGGGGGGGAAGAAATTCTTGCATATATTCTTTGAATTTTGTATAGTTATCTTGATTTCATGTTTTGTATAACTATCTTAATTGTGGTTCAATGAAGCAAGATTGAAAAAAAAAAAAACAGAAAAAAGTATGAAAAAAAGAAAGAAAGAAAAAAGAAAAAGAAACCCGCTAAGTCGAAAACCTGAAAAGGCGGCTTAGGCAAAAATGGGGGCCCGGTTAGGTTGAAAACCCGAAAGGGAGACCTAAGCAAAAAAGTGGCTAATGAGTGGGTGAGAAAGTGAGATTTGGAAAAAGATGAGAGGCTAGGATGAAAACCCGAAAGGGCTCCTAGGCAAAATGAGAGAAAAAAGAGAGAAATGTTCATGAATTTGATTTTTCAAGGAAATTTCGCATCTATTTGCCGGAGTCGGTGTCATAAGGGGAGGAGATATAAGGAGGTGTCGGGGTAGGTTTCATCTTGGTGATTTTGGGAGATAGTTGAGATTTTGGGGGAATTTGTTGATCATCTTAGGAATTTGAGAGCATGAGTTGTTTGTTTTCACTCTTGAATGTGGAAGTGTTTTTATGAGATTTTTGGTTAAGTTGAGTTTTTGTTTGCCCAATTTTATCAAAAATTTCATTTCTTTAGGCGGTTGAGAATATTCATACTCATGGCTATGCGTTTATCGTTCCAAGTTGATTTTGGGGATGAATTGATAAATAAGAAAAAAGGGAGATTCAAAGTGTGAAGTATGGGGGAGTGTGATTGTGATTGGTTGATAAGTACTAGGATGTTTTGTTGAGTTTGAGTGCATAGAGCTAGTTTGATTCCACCATCTTCTGTTTTGAACCTTAGTGAGGAGGATGTGTTTTATTCTCTAAGTTTACTCGAGGGCGAGTAAAGGTTCAAGCATGGGGGAATTTGATAAGCCTTCTTATCATGGGTTGAGAGAAGCATTTTAGGGTGTGTTTTGATGCTTTATATGTACTTTTGTTAGCTTTTGTGAGTTTTGGGCTGTGATCTCACTTATGTGCAAAAGGCGGGATTTATGAGTATGAGTGAGTGAGTGAGCTCGGGAACCAATGAAGAGTTATGTAAGAAGGATGGACCTTGGCTCGTGATTTGAGAGTTTTGATGGAGCATGGAAGAGCAAGGAAGAAAGCTTGAGGAAAAGGTGAAGCAAAGCAAGAAGAAGAAGCAAGGAAAGAAGGCGAAAACAGCAGGAACCGCTGCCAGGGCCGCTGGCAGCTGGCCAGAGCCGCTGGCAGCGGGTATACCAGAGTGAGGGGCTGCCAGAGCAGCTGCCAGCGGGTCCAGAGCAGCTGGCAGCGGCTCTGGCAGAAATTCGGGCTGTTTTGGTTAATTTTCAGCAATTTGGCTTTGTTTTGGCTCGTGTTTTGGATATTATTTTATTATTATTATTGTGTTATGTTATTAAAATATAGAAACATATAAATAGCTTAGTTTTAATTAAGTTTGGAGGAAGAAAAAAGGAGAATTAAGTTTTGAGAAAAAAAAGCTTTCTAGGGTTTTCTTGGAATTTTCAGAATTCTTTGTTTTGGAATTATAATCCATGGAAGCTTAATCTTCCGGATTCTTGGTTAAAGATTGAAGCTTTTAGCTACGAATTGTGAGATCTTTCTTCTCTTAATATCTATTGAATATATATTGTTCCTTGAATTAATTTCATGATTTGCTTTAATCAATTGCTAGGTTAGAATTATTGGATTCGCTTGCATCTAATTAATCTTTCCAAAGTAGCAACTTTAGGTTATTGATGCATGCTTTTGGTTGATAACTTGAAGAGGGAATAATATTATTGAAGAAATTAGACCGCTTGTGTTAATTTATTCAATCCTTGTTGATTTCTCCGTTTATTTTCTTCTTGTGGATAATTTAGAGCGCTTGTATTGAATTGTGCATTGGAAAGGGTTAGAAAGGAGCGCTTTGCTATTTCTAACTATTTATGAGAATTTAGAATCTAGGAATTCTACAACAAGGTGTTCAATAGAGCTTGATTGAGGAGACTTCTATGATCAATTTGTATGTTCATTAGTGGATTTCGCATAACCAAGACCGTTCTTCTCATTGATTACCTATTCATTACGTTCGTTGTTCTTACTTAGTTCATTTATCATCATTGCTCGTGAAAACCCCCCTCGTTACTTAGGTTACTACCGTCCTAGAGTATTTCCACTTAGGTTTCCAGTTATTAGTCCCTTTTTCCCTGTGGATTCGAACTCGACTTCCCTAACTACGTTTATTTGCAGTTAGCTTAGTTGTGATATTTTTGGTTGCATACGACTGAGGCACACCAACTGACATATGACGCCTGCTCCACAACCATTTGTGGTGGAACTCCCTAACACATAGACTTTCCAGACTGGGTCTGGAATTTGAGAATTAGAGGGCTGAGTCATCTCTACAATAAAATCAGCAAAGGCTTGCCCCTTTACTGCTTTCCTGGGCTCAAATGTGATTTCAAGGCTCTGAATCTCTATCGCCCATTTGATCATCCGGCCTGATGACTCCATGGTTATCAGTGGCCGCTTGATTGACTGATCTGTGTATACGACGATTGAATGTGCCAAGAAATAAGGCTTCAATTTTCTAACGGCCATGAAGAGAGCAAGACCAAATATTTCCACCAGGGGGTACCTCAACTCGGCATTTTTCAATACATGGCTGACAAAGTAGACCGGGAGCTGGTAGCCGTCTCTTTCAGCAAGGAGGACGGCACTTAGAGCATGGTCCGACACTGCGAGATACATGTAGAGCACTTCTTTAGGCAAGGGACTGACCAGCCTTGGCAAGGAATGCAGATGAACTTTTAGCTTTTGGAAGGCCGCCTTAGCATCCGACCCCCATTCAAACCTTTCTTTCTTTTTTATTGCCTGAAAAAAGTAAAGGCACTTGTTGCCTGACCGGCTGAGAAATCTTCCCAGGGTCGCCAGACAACCTGTTAACTTCTGAA